CTTTCCTTTAACTAAATTAGAGTTTAATTTGTTCTTTTCTAAGTCCTTAAGGTGAATTCTTAGGTTGAGATCTTTCTCTCTTTGGTGTCTGTACTTGTTAATATCGGTGGGTGTTCTTCTTTAGTATTGACTTTGCTGTCAGATTTTGATGTGTGGCCATCTTCATTTGTTTCTAGAACAGTTTAAATTTATTCTTAATTTCTTTAACTTCTCATTAGTCATTTCGGAGTATTTTCTTCAACTTCCATGTATTTTTGTATTATCCATTCTTACTGTTATTAATTTGCAGTTTGTGATCTGAGAATGCACATGATATTATTTTAATTAAAAAAATTTAAGACTAGATTTGTGGCCTCACATATATTCTATCCTGGAGAATGTTCTATGCGCTGATAAGAATATATACTTTGTTGCTGTTAGATGAAATGGTCAGGCCCATTTGATCCAGAGTATGATACACACCAGATTTTGTTGGATTGCTGTCTGAATGATCTTTCTGTTGAGGAAAGAGGGGTGCTGAAACCCCCAGCCATTATTGTACTGGAGTTGATTTCTCCCTTTAGATCTAGATATTTGCTTTATATATTTGAGTAATCCAGTGGTGGGTGCCTATGTATCTACAATTGCTATATCTTCTTGCCGAATTGATTTGTTTCTTCAATATGTTGTGACAGATCTTCTCTCTTTAGTTTGATTAGAAGTCTGACTTATCTCTTTTGTATGGCTGCTCCTGTACATTTTTGGCTTCCATTGGTATCTTTTTCCAACCTGTTACTTTTACTCTGTGCATATCTGTGCCAAGGGAAGTGGATTTCTTACAGGCAACAAACACTTGGATATTTTTATGTTTTCAAATCCATTCAACTTCTCTGCTTTTTAGTCAATTTAACCCACTTACATTCAAGATAGGTATAAATTTCCTCCTGCTGTTCATAAATTGTGTTCTGCTTTTTTTGTATATTTTTTGTTCTTTTTGTGATTTGATGGAAACCTTATAATTGATAGGAAAGTTTTTTGTGTACCTTTTGTTGTTGTTATATTCCTTGTTTTCATGACAGTTGGTGTCCTTTTCTTTCCTGTGTGGGACTCCTTTAAGCATTTCTTGTAGGGCTTGTCTAGTGGTGAATTCATTCAATTTCTGCTTTCTGCTTATCTGGGAAAGATTTTATTTCTCCTTTTTTTGAAAAATAATTTTTCTGTATATAGTATTCTTGACTGGAAGGTTTTTAAGGTTTTTTTCCCCCCTTCTTTAGTATTTTGAATATATCATCCCACTCTCTTCTTGCCTCTTAAGTTTCTTCTGAGAAACCTGCTGTAAGTTTAAGGGCATGCCTTTTGTGTGACTTGATGCTTTTCTCTTGCTCTTTCAAGTTCTCTGTCTGGTCTTTTGACACTCCAGTGATGATAGTCTTGGTGAAGCTCTGTTTTGGTTGGATCTAGTTGGAATTCTTTGAGCTTCTTGTATATGGATGTCCATATCTCTTTGAAGATTTGGCAAGGTTTTCTCTATTGTTCTATGACTAGGTTTTCAATGCTTTTACTTTTCGTCACCTTCTGGAATTTCCATAATGCAAATATTTGTTCAGTTAATGGTGTTCCATATGTCTTGTAGACTTTTTTCATTTTTTAAAATTCTTTTTTTATTTGACTGGATTAATTCAAAATTAACTGCCCTCAGGTTTAGAAACTCTTAATCTAGTCTGTTGTAAAAGCTCTCTGTTGTATTTTTGAAAATTTCATTGAAGTTTTTATCACCAAGATTTCTGATAGTTTTTTTTTCTGATTTCTATCTCTGTGGTTTTTTTATTCATATTCTGAATCTTCATAAAATGTTTTTTTCTCTTGTTGTGCCGTCTACCTGGACTCTCTTGCATCTAAGTTTCTTCAGGATCATTATTTTTCATTGTTCCCCAGACACTTCATCGTTTTCCTTCTTACTGGGATCTCTGTCTTGAGCACTAATGTCTCTATTGGAGGTGTCCTGTTTTTTTGTGTGCCTCTGTTAATGCCTGTGTTTACCTTTTCCAATTCTATGAAATAGCTTTTGTAGGGAAACATCTTCATTAGATGAGACATAGAATGTCAGTTGGGTAGGTTCTCTGGTTTAGTGAAGGTGTAGTCTCTGGGTGATGTGTTTATCCTTGATGGCAGCATCTGAGTGTCTCAGCTGCCTGGACTGCAGCAGTTCAGGAAAGCAGTTATCATGACTTTACAGTGGATGATTGCTTCCAGGGGTGCCGTCCTCAGCCTCCAGAGTCACAGGATGCTGAGGGACCTGTCTTCAGCCCTGTGAAGTACACCTAGCCAAGGTTTCCGGCAGCACCAGGAATCCGGCCACCAGCACCTAAGGCAAGATGGCATCTAGCGGTGACTGGTGTAACAGCATGCGCTTGGGCGCCTGGGATGCGGGCCCAAAGTGGGCTCCTTCTTCAGAGCAGAGCAGTCTCTCAGACCAGCCAGGTCCCTGAGCTGCACCTAAACCTACCAGGACCTACAGTGCAGCCTCCTTTAGTTAGGACAGCCAGTCACAGGCTTCCAGTGGGCATCTGGGCAGCCAGGTTGGAGCAACAGTCTGCATAGTTCTTTTCTCTGGACTGCCTTTTCAGTTCAGGGCTCCTTGGGGTTCGTGTCACATCCTTTCTGATGGTCAGAATTTTCTCAGTTCTCTCTTGGGTCTTTCTCAGTTCTTGGCCTTGGATCTTCTTTATGGCAAAGTGGCTGCCGGGCACTCCTATTCAGATTCTCAACTGTGCGCTTTCTGCATTAATCCTTAACAAGAATTTTAATTAACTCAGGGAAAACTTATAAATCCTCTCAAAAACGCTAGTGTAAAAAAAGAAACCGCTACATGTCATGTGTAGCTCTTCTTGTATCCTACAGCCCCCACTTGTCAGATTTAAGGTGACACCTGCCCCCCAAATCAGTGGTTCTCAAGAGGGCAGTGTCCTTACCAGGAGCTCGGGAATTGCCTGAGAACTTTTGAATCAGAAACGCTGGTGGTTTTAACAAGCAATCTGTATTCTTAAAAGCCCTTCAGATGATTTTAGTGCAAACTAAGATTCGAGGCTGCTTCTCACATACAATTGTTCATTGGCTTTGTGTATCTTTTTCTTAATCTGTTGCAATGAAAATTGAAATCAGTCCTAGCTTACTGCTGTCTCAATTCTTTGCTAAAAGCAGGACAGGTACAATTTATTACAATCTAGTGGTGTTTTTCTTGGATTTTAAGTCTTTCCATGTGCCAGTCGCCTCTCAAGTCCCATTTCAGTCAGATCTTCCTGCAAGGGTGGTAAAGGAAGGTTGCCTTCTCTCTTGCTCCATTTCCCATTGTGGTAAGTAGGTTTGCATGGGCCCTGTGAAACCCAGAAGTAGATACTCACAGTATTTACCCCACAGGGTCCTGGATCCCTAGCCCCATCTGCTGCATCATAAATTTGGCCCCACACAATTCTGCCATAGGTGGAGAGGGAAAAGCACTGAGAACCAATCTCTAGGCAGGGGTTCTGAGCCTTTGCTGCACATGACATCGTCTGGTAGTCTTTCAGGGTCCTGATGTCTAAGCCGCAGCCACACCAATCCAGTCAGCCATTCTGAAGACACTCCCCAGGCATAAGAAAACTGCACAAGAGGTCTTAATGTGTGGCCAAGTTAGACAGCCAATGCTTTTGGAAAGAATTAGGACTCTTTCCACAGCAGGTGGCAGTGCTGCATAGTGGAACACACAGGGATTCTCGGAGGTCAAAGGCAAGCTGTCAAACCTGTCAGTCTTGTAGGTGCACAGTGACAGTGAGGGAATCTTGAAACAGTGTAGATGTCCGTGCTTTTTTTTCTCTTTTATTAACACGCTCAGTACAGTGATCGTGCCTTGGTTCATATGCCAGGAAGATCCCTTCCACGCTTGAACACTGGCACCTCTTATAACACTCCACACACAGAACTCCCCAAACCTCATGTTTACTGCCAAATTATAAATGACTGGAGGCTGTTGGACTTGGAAAGTAGCTATGCGATGAAAACAAGTTCTTCCTTTTTTTTTTTCCAGATTTATCTACTTACTTAGCCCATGTTGCCCCCAAATAAGAAAAACATACATGATTGTCCCCTATGAGTGTCCATGACTGCAATCAAGGAGACAGTCAAGGACACAATCAAGATCTCAATCTGCACCAACTGAATTTCTGAAAAGATTTCATTTTTCCAGGAAAGGTCTGCCATCCTGTGGTGAAGTGTGGAAACGCAGGCTGCGTCCTGCCTTGGAGAACTGGCCTGCAGGGGTGGCTCTGGAGAGCAGCCCAACACAGACACTGTATACCCACCTTGGCCTGCTCTTTGTAGCAGAGGGGAACTTCTTCTCTAACAAGCAATCCAGCAATTGCTTTGCTACTAATACACTTTAAAAAACATCTCCAGGCAATAATATAACAAATTTGTATGAGATTTTTTTTTTAATTTACTAACTTATATAGCACAAAATAACTTTTGTGCACCCATTAGTTTGATGTGGAAAATAGTGAGGGAACATGATGTATAGAAAGTCCTATTTCTAGCATTCTTCTCACCATTAAAATGTTTTTTTTAAAAAAACACCACTAAATTGTAATAAATTGTACCTGTCCCACTTTCAGCAAAGAATTTAGACGTGAGCTAGGATTTTGTTTAAATTTTCACTGCAACAGATTAAGAAAAAGGTGACAAAGCCAATCCTGTGTATCACACATACACAAAAGGTACCTGCAGCAAGAGGTATGCAAATGAGCTCAGTCGTGGTAGCAGTTTGTGTTGTGTATGGAAATGTCACGTCGGACGCTGGACCGTTTTTGTCCTTGCGTCATGGAGGCTTGGGGAGGAGCTAACCCTCACGAGCCACTTTCTACCTCAGGTGGTACCCCAGAGATGTGAACAATTTTTATGTCAATTTCTAAAAAGTCTCCAAAAAAAAAAAAAAAAACCCCTTCTCCCACTGCTAACCACTATGTACTCAGATAGTCTTGTTCTCTTAGGATGGGCAGCCGACTGCACGTCTACCCAAATGGGTCCCTGTTTATTGGATCTGTGACAGAAAAAGACGGCGGTGACTATTTGTGCGTGGCCAGGAACGGCGCGGGGGACGACCTGACCCTGATGCACGTCAGCCTGAGGCTGAAGCCTGCCAAGATCCACCACAAGCCACACTTTAGAAAGCAAGTGCTCCAGGGGCGGGACTTCCAGGTGGACTGCAAGGCCTCCGGCTCCCCCGAGCCCGAGATCTCCTGGAGTCTGCCAAACGGACGAAAGATCAACCAGGCTGTGCCAGCCCGGGACAGCGGCCACAGGGCCCGCAGGTACACCCTTTTTGACAACGGGACCTTGTACTTCCACAAAGTCGGGATCACTGAGGAAGGAGACTACACGTGCCATGCCCAGAACACCCTGGGGAAGGACGAAATGAGGGTCCACCTCACCGTGCTCACAGCTGCCCCTCGCATAAGGCGGGGGTACCAGACCAACGTGAGGCTCCAAGCTGGGGACACGGCCGTCCTTGACTGTGAGGTGGTGGGAGAGCCTAAGCCAGGAACGTTCTGGCTGCTGCCATCTGGCGACACGATTTCCTCCTCCAGTGGTAGGTACACGGTTCACGCGAATGGGTCTCTGTCCGTCAGCAAGGTGAGGTCGCTGGATTCTGGAGAGTACGTGTGTGTGGCCCAGAACCCCAGTGGGCATGACACCGAAACGTACACAGTGGCCGTCGACTGCAGGCCCCCAATGATCAACGACATCTATGCCAACAAGACGGTCATAAAAACCACGGCCGTCAGGCATTCCAAAAAACACCTGCACTGCAGAGCCGAAGGGACGCCACCGCCCCAGGTCATGTGGGTCATGCCGGACAGCATCGTCCTCACAGCCCCGTACTATGGCAGCAGAGTCACAGTCCATGCCAACGGAACCCTGGAAATCCGGAACGTGAGGCTTTCTGACTCTGCCGAGTTCATCTGTGTGGCTCGGAACGAAGGGGGAGAGAGCAAGCTGGTGGTGCAGTTAGAGGTCCTGGAGATGCTCAGGAGACCCACTTTCAGAAACCCCTTGAATGAAAAAGTGGTTGCCCAGCTGGGACAGCCCACAGCCCTGAACTGCTCTGTGGATGGCAACCCGCCTCCTGAAATTATCTGGATTCTCCCCAACGGCACCCAGTTTTCTAACGGACCACACCTCTCTCCATATCTGGTAGCAAGCAATGGCTCCCTCCTCATTCATAAGACAACTCGGAAAGAAGCAGGAAGATATCGGTGTGCAGCTAGGAACCAAGTGGGCTACATTGAGAAACTGATCATACTGGAGATTGGGCAGAAGCCCGTTATTGTGACGTATGCACCAGGGACTGTAAGGGGCCTCGGTGGGGAATCTCTATGGCTGCATTGTGTGTCTGATGGAATCCCAAAGCCACACATCAAATGGACCACACCAGGTGGTTCTGTGCTAGACAGGCCTCAAAGTAATGGCAAGTACACCCTGCATGAAAATGGCACCTTGGTCATCAAGGAAGCAACGGCCCACGACGGGGGGAAGTATGTTTGTCAGGCACAAAACAGCGTTGGCCAGGCACTGATCACTCTTCCAGTGAGGATTGTGGCCTACCCGCCCCGAATTACAAACCGCCCTCCCAGGAGTATCCTCACAAGGACAGGAGTGGCCTTTCAGCTGCACTGTGTGGCCCTGGGAGTCCCCAAGCCGGAAGTTACCTGGGAAATGCCTGTCCACTCCTGGCACTCAAGGGCAAGAGAAGGGAGGAGCCAGGGGGGCGAGCAGCTTCACCTGCAAGGCACCCTAGTCCTTCCGAATCCCCAGACCTGGGACTCGGGGCTGTACAGGTGCACAGCCAGGAACGCCCTCGGTAGTGACTCTGCAGCAACTTACATTCAAGTCATCTGACATGAAACGAAAGCAGCACTGAACAAAGTCAACATCTGGACAGAATTTATTTTTTGGAAGAAGTTTAATCAAAGGCAGCCATAGGCATGTAAATGAACTTGGATACATTTACAATATTAAATTTACAATGGACATGCAAAAAAAGACTTAAGTGCAGTATGAACTGATACTGATTTCTTGAATGGATCTCAACACAAACTTTTAACTTAAGGCACTTTTATTTTGCCAACAAATAACAAACATTAAGAGGAAATGGTCCACTGTAAAATAACAAATGGCTAATGCACCTGAATTTTTCAGTAAAGAATGAACTTCTTATTTTCTTTCTACTACCAGTTGCCTAGTGTCACCTTCTATCAGTGTTACAAGTATGGCACTGGGGACAGTCAGTGGGGCAGATTAAATCTGCAGTCCTTATGCAAACTCACCATCTTGATGTATAAAGAGTTTGTCATTGGTTTATGAATATTTTGCTAAACCTACAGAAAACAAGCACTGAACTGTTTTGATGACAAATCATCATTTGTTCACAATGACAATTTTTGTTGATGGGGAATACAAAAACGTTTTAATAACTGCATTTAAAAATAAATGCAGGCTAATTTTTCCACCTGTAAAAAGCAATTTAGCACACACCATAAAATGTGAAAAGGGGCTGATTATATCTTTGTCCAAATCTTTCCATTAAAAAGATTTTTAAAATACAATGAAGCTCCTTTATGACTAAGCTCTAGCTTGGGAACTCCTGGCTCAGAGCTGTTCATAAGGAAAGTTTTCTGGGGAGGAATCTTCCTTTTGGGCATTTCATTTCATTATGCAATAATTCTTTATGCACTGGGAAAATGTTTGGGAGAGTTTAAATTATTATATAATGAAGCTTCACTGTATTTAAAATTTGATCAACCCTACCCAAAATGTTGCTTTTTGTAATTCACTATTCGTATTGCATGCTTAATTCAATCTGAATTAATTTGGGGGACATTATGATTTATTTTTCTAATTCTAGAGGCTGGGGTTTTCCAATATAATTTCTCCAGCATCTATACCTATTATTTTAGGATTATAAGAGCCTTATAAATGGGAAAAAGCCATGGCTCTTATACAAATAGCTAAGGACACTGAGACACGCTGGCCCTGCCAGTCACTTGAGACATGAGGATGAACTCCCTTTCAGAGGTCACCTGTTTGCCACCAATCTGGGTATCCAGTGAATGGCAAGAGATCAAAGGACACTTGGACAGTGATCTCCCTCTACTGCTGAACCAAGATGGGTAGGTAAAAGGATGGAGGCAACCTGATGAGGAACAAGCCTATGACGTAAGTGGTGTGTCCAAGGGGTCCTCACATCCAGGCGTTTTGATAGGGGTACCCACTTCCATTAGATTTCAAGGTCTTATCTTAAATGGGCTGGGGTCTCTGTCTTATTAGTCTAATCTCTCTGCAACTTACCGAGCAAATCACAAGGTTCTGTACCAGGGCTTTCCCTTGTGAACACTTTAATGCAAACTAATGCATTTGCTACAAAAGAAACATATCAGGATAGAGAAATATGACTAACTTAAAAGTTCCAATTGCTTTCCTTATAACGCACAAGAAGAAAACAGCTCTAGTTTTTCCTAAACCTTCCATAGCGTTTCAGAATTATAGGGACTTACTCAAGACTTAGCCTCCTCACCTTAATGCAACCACAAAGGTACTCCCCATAGCTTTCATGTGCAAAATGATTAATAAATAAACTTCTGCAAAATGTAAAGTGCATACAAATGCTATGCAATGATAACACTCACTCCTCACAGTATTGCCACTGTTTGCAATACTGAGCTACAACGATTAATGGTTCAAACTGAAAATTTGCCTTCAAAATACCAATGATTCTTAAGCAAGGACCAAAAACAGAATAGGACTCACTCACTAGGCACAACATTCATGTTTCAGGGGTTCTGCCCGTGAGTCACCAGACATACCCACCACTCCAGAAAAAAATAACTTCATGAACTCTGAGTATGATTCTGGAGAGGGTAAAACCTGATCTATACAAGCAGCTGAAATGTAAAGGTACATCTTCTGAAAGCAGGTAGGATGTTAATTTAGTGAAAAGAATGGTCTTTAATGTTTTGGCAAAGTCTGTTCCAGCCCAGAGTAAACACCTCTTGGGGCAGGCTGGAGTGAATGTCTTCACAGTGTACAAAAGCAGTTCACACGGATGCTGCCACAGCACAGGAAGCTGATGTGTATTTGAGGTCATTGGCAGGAGTCAAACTGCAATGAGTAGCTCACCCAGGAAGATGTGAATTACTTACAGAATGATTCGCAAAAGAAATGATCTACTTAAGTGGAACTAGCTACATTTTAAAAAAAGTAGTTCTATGTGGTCTGTTCATTGGACGAATCTATTCACAGTATGCGTGACTACATGTAAAATCATATGGCAAAAAGATGAAGTAACACAGAACATGGGAAGACATCCCACACATGTGTTTTTTAAAATGCCCTGCAATTTTCACATTCAAAATTTTATGCATCTAAATCTAAAAAAATATTATATGGAATACTCTTAAGTTACACAAACTGATAATAATTTACTGTATTCTTTACTCTAATAGGAGCAAATTACCACATACTTGAACAAAGTTAAAATAGTTACTATTTCTTTATAATAAATTTAATGTATAATTTACTTGTGCTTTTTGCACCAATTTATAAATACAGTATATGCATTACACAACCAAGACTGACACCAACATTAATAATTAAATTCAAAGTAGCAAATACTTACCATACAAAATTAACAGCAAATACACCTTTTATGAAAACCAGAGCCTTCTGGACTTTGGGGCCAGGGTCTCTGGAAACCATGTCAAGTCTGAGCTCTGTGGACTCTCTAGCCAGCTGCAAGATTTTCACTCTAGTTGGCATAAAGCTCTGGAGAACCAAATCTGGACAGTCATTTTCCCAAAACTGGCAGTAAATACAGGAACGATTCCACGGTGGTCCTTCCAGGTGTTTAAAGTTGACATATTGTACCTTCCTGAAGACTCTGGTTCATGCTCTCACCACTGAAAACAAAGTCAGGTGCAGCAACTTCTAAGAGGCTCCCATGGAAGTCGTGATCGTAGAAGTCACTAAGCAACAACCTGGTTCAGCACCTTTGACCACAACAAAAGCAAAGTCCTACACAAATAAGAAAGTTCATAAAGTGCTCATGAAATTACAAATATTTCAAATTATAATGACGCAGATTAATGTCCAGTTACCCATCACAGGTGAATGCAGAATGAATGGGTTGCTTCCTGTCAAGACCTGATCTGCCTTTCAAATCAGAAGTTGGTCCAGCACAGTTGCAAAAGAGCAAAACAATCATTAATGAACCCATAAATATTTAAACCCACCATAATTCATTCTATCTGTACCTAGAAGACTTTAAAAAAAAAAAAAAGCACCAATTTCAAAGGTCTGCTGCCACCATCTGTGGGGAGGAGGCCTGCCTGAGCCGTCAGCCATACTGCCAAACCTCCTTCAATGCTGAATGCAAAGCACAACTTCTCCTTTGCTTTTTGTTTAAATACCTCCATATGAAATATAGCATAAAATATAGGAAACCAAAGAAATGAAAGACCAAAGGGACATTCTCAGGATGACTGAGACATTAACTCTGATTTTCTACTTTTCAGTGCAAACACAAAACTGCAGGTTGTCTTCCCAATTCAGAAGTGTGAAGGGTGCCCGTAGGGAGTCACTCCTTGCTGCGGCTGGTTACCTATGAAAGAAAGAGTCACATGCCGTCACAGGTACAAAGTGTGCTGCAGGTAAGTGCTTTCCTCTTACTGCTCTCAGGACACCTCGGGTGCAGGGATCAGACCCACTGCCCACAGCACATCTCGCCCTGGCCGCCTCTCGTGGAGGATCCAAGTAGCACCACCGAACTTAGCAGAGGGCCCAGCTCCACAGGAGAATCCCACACCTGCCCAGGCGAGGCCTTGGGCTGAGGTAACTGGCCCCCCAGAGTGTCTCCCTCTGAGCTCACATAGGACAGGCAGTTCGTCCACCCAGACGAGGACTTACTAGAAAGCTGCTTCTGGAGCTGCCGCACCAGTGCGGCCGTCTGCTGCTGCTGCTGGGTCTGCTGCAAGCCTGGCCTGGGGAACTGCAATTGCAATAGGAGAAAGGACAGAAATTAGGCCATAGAGCCAGTCACTGAGGAACACAGGTGACATCCTGGGGTCGGATGGTCTGGAAGGCACCTTTCCATACTTCAAGACAAAAGTGCCATACCCAGAGTACACACATCAACGTTGTCTAGGCCCTGGCACATCTCGTACAGAGCTGAAGTGCTCACCCACTCCGGAGTGCCCTCTGCCTTAGCTGGCATCTATTACAAGTCCTGATGCAGGAGGGTCTCACTCCAGAGGGGCCTGGCAGTTCAGAGACCACTGTCTACTCACCTTCACCAGGTGGCTAGATGATCAAAAGTTGCCCTTCTGCTCTGACATAGTAGCCACTAGCCAACACTTCCCTGTCTGTCTTGTCCCTTCAAGCCATCCTTAATTGGAAGCAGCAGCTTTCAAATACTTGGAAATGGTTATAGATTTGAAATGGTTGGTTGCAGAAATGTCTAATTTGATTAAAATGTTTGGGTACATGGTGCACAAATATCAAAATTATTCAATAAATACTTAGCTGCCTTCCTCTGTCCTTTAAAAGCCTGCTTCAAATAGAGCAACGCAGGCTCTTGCAGAGCCCAGGCAGTAGCTAGTATCCAGGAAGCTCATGGATGAGTGCTGGGACATGGATGGGGGTCTCCTGGTGGCTGTAAGAGGCAGGGCAGGGCTGGGGACGCAGCTCAGGTGCTTGCCCAGCATGTGCGAGGCCCTGGATTGATCCCTAGCATTGCAACAACATTGCACAAAACGAAGGTGATCCTAAAAGAGTCTCAAGGGCAACGGGGCTACCTGGGGAGACCATCAGCTGAGTTGTCAAAAGAGACCAAGAGGGAGGAGCCAAAGAGCAACCACTTGAACCAGCTGCCTGTCCAGGTGACCACCATCCACCTCCTCCATCAAGGCTCCCAACCTCTCTTGTGACCTCTGTCACAGGGTGAACTGTGCCTGCAAAATAATATGACACAGTCCAACCCCAGTACCTCAGAATGTAACCTGCTTAGTCTTTATAAAGGTGATGGAGTTAGAAAGAGGCATACAGTGGGATCTAGACCAGGATGGTGTCCCCAAGAAGGTGAATTGACACAGGTGTGCATACAGTGAGAAGGCCAGACGAGAGCAGCGCAGAGTCCCAGGTCTGCAAGCCCAGGAGGTCAGAGATAGCCATGAGCCACGGGGGCTGTGGGAGAGGCATGGGTAGACTTGCCTCGGGCACTTAGGAGCCAACCCTGGTGACAAGTGATCTTGGGCTTCCACCTCCAAAAGCAAGGCACGGTCCATCTCTGCTGTTTAAGCCACTGACTGTGTTCTCTGGAGCAGTCCCAGCAAACTAAGACAGTCCCTGGGCCTCTTCTACCAGGAGCTCAGCAGCCACACGCCCCTCTTCACGTGCAGTGCTGCCACTGATCACCTCCTGGGGCTCCTCTGGGGACAGGGACCATGCTTGGTACCTTCACCCCTCCCTCGAGAGGGCAGGAACCAGAACCCCCTGCCACAGTTGGCCCACTGCTGTTCCTCCAGCAGAGGGAGGGACAGAACACAGTATGGGCCAGTACCACACACTGGGTCTGCTCAGATGTTTATCATAAATATAAATAAATGTATTCCTGATGCATACGATATACCTAGTGAATCCTAAAAGATCAAAGGGAACATGTGGTTTCTGCTCATACAGCTGAGGCTTTGACCATTGCTGTTGTGAATGTGTAGCCGCTCGAGAGATGTTTTCTCCTTATTATATACTCTACTCTGTTATTGTGACAAGACCAAAAAAGAAAAGGAAAGATCTTAAACTCCCTCAGCAGAACAATGTCTGAAGCTGTGAGTCGGGTGACCATGCAGAGCAGCCAAGGACTGACTTCAAAGCTGTAGGAGTCACAAACACAGGACCATGTTCGTGAACTTCCGAGTGCACAAGCATGGACAGAGCAAGCTGGACAGAGCACACTAAATAGAGCCACAACCCAAGAGTCCAGGCTACTGACTGCCCCTGTAACTTTCAACCCTGAAATCCCACAATCCAGGTCTAAACATCTAAAATTTAAAAAAACAATTTAAATGTCCTTGCCTACCCTAAGAATTATACATTTATAATATTTTTGTCTCCGTACTGTAATTGTAAACGTTATAGTCTAACTACAACATAGTGCTTTAAATAAAAAAATAAGACATTTGCTTATCAAGACGGCATTAAAGTCTTCAGCTGAGAACAAAAGCCTCCTAAAAAGTCTGCTGTAGGTTTTACTGTCCCGCAAAATCACTATGAGTGACAATTTCTGTTTTTCTGACATTCCTTTCCCATAAGCATGAGGAAAAAGTCATACGCCATGCTCTGACTAACTTGCTCAATCTGTAAGAGGTTTCAAGATAATCTCCACCCTTTCCTGTAAAGAGAGCTTTGGGACAGAACCAACTCTGTTTACCGTACATACACACAAATGATAATGTACTCCATGTGAGGCATGTGGTACTGAAGAAGCATGACCCTCTAAGAATAAACTAACTTCATATCCTTAATACATATTTTATATATTTCCTATTAAAAGTCAACCAGAATGAGGTTTAATAACAGAGGGTGAAAGGCCAAAGAGAAAGACCACTGGGAGAGGTCCTGCCAACGTTTGTATAATTGCAGGTGTTGACCCAGGTGTTCAGTTGAAGCCAGTCACTACTTCATAAGGACCTGTGCCCCTAGACAAAGGCTGGCTCCTTAGAAAAGTACTACAGTCTCAGGGCATCAGGTCACACCAGTATGAACAAATATGCAGATTGACAATATACAGGGAAAACACATGAATTGAATAGGCAGATCAAATAGAGAGCCTATTATCTATAAGCCACGTATCATATGACTCCCATAAGGTTATTTCTATACTTGCCTCAATCAAAATTTAAAAAGCTGAAGATGTGGAACACCCTACTGTCACACAGTCACAGACAGCGGAGGGCTCAGTGTAGCCTGCTTTTCTGTTAACAGGGGCATATCATGCAACTACTTAGTAGCCAAAGACGTCTTAATTCTCAAATTATTGGATTCCCTATATTTACTAGTCAAGTGCCCATTCACTAATCTGCAATAAATGTCTGAGAAGGTGTAATTACATGATAGTTATTTCCACTAGAACTAACTTCGCATAATTCTGCTCCTAGTTAATAAGAGCACTACAGCATGAGAAGTTTTGGTTTTAAATTAGAAAGAAAAAAAAAAGGCTAAGAATTTGCCAGGTCAGCATCAAATATTTCAAACACTCATTATGATATATTTTACAGCAACATGGTTTATCTTTTGGCTTTCTGGCCAAACACCAACAGAGTGTTTTATTGTATATAGGAAGAAAGGAGTGAGGCTACTATGTGTCAGTACTGCTTGATGTCATAACATACCTAGTGGAAAGAGATTTTTAAAAATCACCAACTTTAATCTAACTGATGTCAGATACAATAACAGAATACTGAGCAAAGTTGCAGGAAGAATTTAAATTCTTCCTAGAAGTTTCATTTCAATGGCCAAGGGCCAAATGTTAGACTTCATATTTAAAACATTACAGCTGAGCACAGAGGCACATGCTTGTAATCCCAGCTACCAGGGAGGCTGAGGCAGGAGGATCACAAATTCAAGGCCAGCCTGGGCAACTCAGTGACATCCTGTCTCAAAAAAATACAAAAGGCCAGGTAGGATGTGGCTCAGGAGTAGAGTGCTTGCCACGCCTGTGCAAGGACCTGGGTTTGTCCCCAGCATGGAGGAAAATTAATAACACTAAAATAAAAATAACTTAGGGAAAGACAGGCAAATGGGGAAGAAGGGAAAGATCATAAAACAGAATACCAACCATTAAAGGCAGAAAAATAATAGTGTGAAAGTCTCGATTCTGCCACTGCTGCATGATGGTGGATTCAGGCAGGAGTGACTTGACAGGCATTGCCAGGAGCACATGAAGGTTTGGTGAGCAACAAGACAGGCAGTACCCAGCTGCCCCAAAACTGCGTGTTAATACAGCGGTCCTCAGTGGATCTGCGCAGGAGCAACCTACCAGGCACCACCCCCACACAGGGATCAAAGTCACATCCCCGATGACGGACCAGTGTATATTCTAATGTGACTTGCTGAGAGGGACAATGACACCTGTGATGCACCTCAGAAATGTGCAAGGTGATTCTAAACACGACTACCTATGCAGCTAAGCCAAACGAGCAACATTCCACGGAACAATGTCCCACATCTCAGGAGTGCCACCATTGTGAAGACACACGGGCCTGGGGCTAGAACTGGTCCAGGTGGAAGGTGGAGAACATACAAGAGCCAGATCCAGGGCAAGCTGATCCCAAGTCCAGAGAGACCAGCGCAGTTGTCACCACAGACACAAGGGCGCTGGCAGGAGACGTACAGATGAGAGCGCCGAGTCATGTCCTATTTCCTGATCTTAATAACCACACCATGCTTTTGTGAAAGAATAGCCTTGCTTTGGAGAAACAAACTGAGGTATTTAGCAGGGAAGGGCACGTGTCTGCAACCCATTCCTGTGTGCAGACCAGAGGAGGTGTGTCATAGGCTAAGGCAGGATGGCATAGGGTGCTGACCAGTGAGTCTGAGAAGAGTTTAGGGCAATTTTATACTATTCTTAGAACATTTCTGTTAGTTTGAAATTATTTCAAAATAATTGTTCTTGGGTGGAACAGCAGGTCCCAGGGAGTCCAAAGAGCCTCTGGAGTGGGTCGTGCACAGCAGGGCCAGCAATGTCCACTGACAGTCTCAGGGTGAGTGGGACGTCCATGTGCGACCTCCACTGTGGAATGGACCTGTGAAGTGGGCTGCAGCGCACCTCAGACACCTCTGCAGAAGAAGTGGGAGCCGGCACCCAGCACATCCAGCCAGTCTCTGCCTTTGCCAGTCCAGCTCCTCCTCTTGATCTCAGAGGCTTGTTGAAGGAGCGGGATGGCCATTCAAGCCGACCCCGTGCTTCACCTGATCCCTTATTTCCAGTCCTTCCTAACAGCCTTCTCCTCGCCGCAAGCTCCTACCTTACTCCACCTTCAGAACCTGTGCCTGAGACCACCTGCACCAGCGCCACCCAATAAGGTGACCAGTGACCCATCTTGGCAGAGCCTGTAAAGCCCTCAGCTGGGGGACGGAGTGCCCCTTGGCACCTCCTTCCTCCCCTTCCGTTTGTTTTCAGATATTTCCAGATATCTTCTAAACAGATAAACTATACCATCACTTAATATTGCTTATAAGAAATGTATAGTATCTATTCTATGGAATAATCTCAAATTTTTAAGAGAGGAAAGTGTTGTAACCTATCGAACCCCAAATATTTATTTGTACCCTTCTATGTAAACACACCAACACCACCACCACAACCCTGGCACGGTCCTAGAGAGAAGCCGCTGGCATGTTTAGGGAACTCCAATTCTCCACAGCGACAGGCGCAGAGAAGGCAGCAGGCTTTACGGAACCCAGGTGGTCCCCAGACACAGGCCTTACCAGAGGTTGCTGGGGCTGCACTGCCTGGAGACCCAGGGTCTGCTGGCTCTGGGGCTGTGAAGACGGCTGGGGCTGTGGGGGCTGCTGGGGCTGCTGCATCTGCAAAGAAAGAAAAAGGATTATGCCCTTGAAAGGAAAGGGGGATATCACCCTGAAGCTCCATTAACAGTTCATCTCACTGTCTGTTGCAGAACAAATGTGCTGCTTTCCAATGGTGACACGTTCTGGGAAACGTGTCTTTAGGGACTTTGTGACTGTCCAACGTCACAGAGCACGCATGCACAAACCAGGCAGTATGGCGTAGCCCACCACACACCAGGCTGGGGGTGTGAGTCAGACTGTGTGAAGCAAAAGAGACAGTGATACCCTCCAGAGATGTGGCGAACACAAGACCCATCAGGCCGCCGCCATGCCAACACAGATGTAAGACCCCGTCACTCCTGGTCATCACCGAGAACGACGTCCAGTCCCTGACTGTGTGTGCTACGCACTTGTAACTGGCAGTGTGCGAGATGTCTTTACGCCACCATCGCCACAAAGATGTCTGTGTTGTGCTAGGGTGATAATAAAGGCTATAATTTCATTAGGGGACATTATCATCTCATGGGACTACCTTTTATATAAGCAATTGGTCATTGACCAAAATGTCATATGGGAGCATGACTAGATCCTGCCTCTTCCACCTGCCCCCTGGCAACACGGTCGAGGGCAAGACCTAAATCCACCTCCATATGTCCCTCCTGAAAGCCTTCTCAGACCGCCCCAGTCCTGCACATCTCCCCCGGGAGTCACTGCTCACGGGAGACACTGCTCACAGGGACAGGGACACCCTGTGCACCTGCTGTGTGGCTTTCTTCATGCATGCTACCTGCCTCACAACCCCAGGGGACAAGCACCTACAGGCAGCCTCCCTTCCTTCCCTGTGATATATGTCAGGAGACCCCTGAGGATTCAATCTTAATTTTTTAAAGGACGCCTGGGAGATGTTCTGGCACAAATGATGAGTGTAAAGTTGGAACCATGTCGTTGACAAGGTTGGCTCAAATGCTCAGCTCTGGGAAACCTTCCGAGTCACAGAAGCCACAGGCCAGACACCAGGCGTGACTCGGGAAATGGGAGCCACTGCTTTCTCCCCATGACCTTTAACAAGTCCTCCGTCCAAACACTTCTTCCTGGGGGTGACAGACCCAGAGATTCTCATCCTTTTCATTTTTTCCATTTGGTCTACATGCTATGCCCCAAATTATCTGTCCTTTTTGAGAAGGGTAATAAATAGCTACCGACAGACACTAAGGGACCATGGTGGAGGACATGGAAACCTTGCAGAGCCCTGGCCAGGGCCACTCCCCACACGATGCTCAGCACGAGGAAGCCAAGGCTCCCCATGGCTCTGTGGCCTCACAAAAGACCTCATGAGAGATGAACGTGACTTCAGAGCATCAAGATTGTACCCCACGGAGGTAGTCGATCCCCAAAAAGGAGAAACCGATTCACAGGAGCAAACCAGTATTGTTTGAATCTCTGAGGAATGTACTGTGGGTAAGAAGAATTACCACAGGACCCACGCTAGAAGGGACAGAAGCCTCCGGCCCCCAGGAGGGGCAGGTTCTCCATGCTTGGGTCTGAAGAATACCAAGGCAGAAAGTAGAAAAGTGACAGCACTGCCACCTTCCTTGGTGACTTGGAAATGATAAAAAAAAATTTTAAAAAAATACAAACAACAGTCCTAAAAAATTCTGAAATATATCCTAAGAACCGAGGGGAAAAAACATGATATAAGAAAATACCACTCTTGAGTATTAACAGTCACGTTAGTAAAAACATTAATAGCAACATGACCAACCTAGTGCTTTACCTGAATTTCCTTATTTAACCCTTGCTACACACTTGAGAGGAAGGCACTAGTATTATTTCCATTACAAACTGGAGATTAGAGGGTTTTTACCATCTTGGAGATGACATTTACACTTGGATGGGACTGCACGTCTACTAGCCACACTCCTCCAGGTCAATAACCATATATTACCAGTTCCCTGATGCAACTTTTTAAACATTTTATCAGGTCAAAAATTAGGATGCAACTAATGGCATCTTACCACTGATGGCATCTTATGAAACTCAGGTCTACAAAGAATTTGTGTTGGTTTCTGCTTGTCACTTTGGGATACTATCAACCAGAAATCTGTAGGTCACACTAGACTCAGACCCCAACCTACTTGAGTTTAGGGTCCAAATTTTCAAGGAGATGTTTATTCTTTCCTTCATCCAGTGTCAAGCCTGGGACATGCAAACTCTGTTGCTGTCCCTCCCTGCATGACGGGTTTCCTTCCTGTTAACCACCCAGTGCACAGCCCTAAGGCACCCCAGCTCTACTAGACGCCCCAAAGTTGTTGATGTCTCCCTTCCCCATAGTACCTAAGATAGCATTGCATCTCAAGTGGACTGGTAAGAGGGCAAGAGCAGGGTCAGTCCCTCCAGAAAGTCACCAAGCCAGCCCAGGGCCAGCTGGTAAATACAGTATGAAGCGGCCTTGTGGACAGTAAAGAGGAAGGGCACAGGACCACACAGCCGCATTTCTTAAAAAGTAACAAAGAAGCAAGAAGGTGCTGGAGAAGCTCTTGTCTGGGAGTTGTGAGTATTTACCTCAAATAAGTGAAGGACAGATCTCTGAATTCTAACAGAGACAGAGGAAGTGTCCCTTTGCAAATTCCTCCCTATACCCCTGATTTCATAGCCTTTGTTTTTATCTTTTTCCTATGTAGGGAACTCACACTCAATGTCGGCCCCTGGTTAAACAGTGGCTGGGGGAGCTGAGGCTTCTGCTCTCAAATCAAAGGCATCCAAGTACTTCCGGGGCCTTTGAGAAAGTGAGGAGATGCTACGAAACACTTCTGCCCAAGGCAGGGCAGAAGCACACAGAGAGGGAAACCCTGCCAAGCTGGGATAAACTGCACCAGTTTAGGTCTGAGTGTCAAACACACGGGCTCCTTGGACTCAACCATGGAAATCAGGGGCACCACTACTGCGGATCTGTTCTGTGTAAAGGAGACAGAATTGCCCTCATCTCCCTGCCCCATACCTGCAGGAGTCTCTGCTGCTGTCGAACTTGCGGCTGCCGGGGCCTCATGGGGTCCTGAGGCAGGGGCACGGAGGGGAGGCTCGGGTGTGCAGGCGTCATCATGGCATCGATGCCCCCGCCCACCAGGGGGCTCTGCTGCAGAGCCTGGTGGTTCATCCTGGCAAAGAACAGTGTGACTTGTACCATGAGTGCCACCAGGACACAATCCATGCTCACAGAGCAGAGCAGCCCTTGATGGTCGATGGTCACTCTCATCACGCCAAGGGAAAAAGACCGGAGGCCAAGACAGAGATGTGATCACTCGGAAAAAAGGAAAGCAAACAGGCCTCTTAAAATAGCACTCATGTGCAGACTAATTTTTTAATGAAGTAGTTGCTAACAGTGAGTCTCACTCACTGGACACCCGTCTTGGAGCAGGCCCTGTGCGGAGGTCTGACTGCACGGCTCCTCCCACAACAGCGCCTGTGCTTCGTGTTGTGCGCTCCCCACATCAGGAATGAGAGAGCAGAGGTGGAGAGGAACACTCACTGAGGTTCCTCAGACAGCAGATGGCACAGGTGGCATTTGAACCCAGAACTGATGGCTTGAAGTTCAAGCTCCTGAGGTAACAGTATGCTACTACTAGTTATAAAAGTAGGAAATATAATGAAATTGGAAATACGTATTTCCAAATTAATTTATTTTCCTAAATGTGCTACCATCAGTCAGCTGTCCCAGTGTTTCATAGTTCGGGTTACTTGCAGCTGACACACAGCCACTGATGGACACCTGGGCCCAGGCTGTGCAAGGTTCTCTTAAATCTTCTGGGAAGTGTCACCCCATGGAATTGCCTATGATGACTGAAATGCTTCTGTATGTGCTGCAAAATAAGAAGGCCACTAGGACTGGTGACATTAATTGTCAGGCCTTGGTGCAAAACACGACTGCAGGGCTTCCTTCCAAGAAGGTTCCCATATAACACAACCCTGAGTGACTGCCCAGGCCCTGGCTGCCCCTGCTGGCCATGTATGGCTACTGAACACTTGAAATTTGACTAGTGTGAAGGATGAACTCAAGGTGTATTTCAATTTTCATTGGTCTATATTTAAACAGCCACATATGCACAGCGGGTGTGGTAGTGGGCAGTAATACTCTGGGTGTAAGGGACCTGGTTACAACAGGAACCCCGAAATCCATGGGGATCCCATTTCGCCAATATCCCTGAGGTGAGAAAGGCGACAACTCAGTTATAACAAAACCCTCATGTGCACCAGGCCCAACCGGTCCTGCAACCATACATTTGCAGCTGAGCAGCAAACTCTAGTATAACATTTCCAATAATAATCAGTAGTCACTCAGATGCTTTTAATGAAAAAGATAAACACTCTTTGAAAGGGGGGAGAGAATACTAGTGCTAACTAGCCCAGGACATCCATCCCATGGAAGAAGTAGTCCCAGCTGGGGCCCCTGAGCGAAGGAAATAAATGAGATGAGGAATTCCTGCCTGGGGCTCCGTGGACGCTACTGACACTGAGTAGCAGCATGTCAAGCACACGGAGGCACACAGGCCCACAAGCCACCAAGCTGCCATGCCCCAGGTGAGGCACAGCAAACACAAGCACAGTCCCTCCTCGTGTCACCTCTGGGCGCCCGTCAGGGGCTGCAGGTAGGGTGGGGCCTGCTGCTGTATGTAGCCGCTGGGCTGCTGCTGCATCTGCCTCAGTCTCTCCATGAGCGCAGGGCTGGAGTGTGCGGCTGGGTAGGCCCGGGAACCATAGCTGGGGGACAGGACCACGCCGGCCTGCGGCTGTGCGGGCTGTGGCAGAGGCATCTGGGTTCCGTACATGGTGTAGCCCTGGGGCATGGTCTGCAGGGAGGAAAGGGGACAAGTCAGCGCCCCAGGCACCACTGGGGCACGTGGGGCACAGGACCCGACAGGACCTCTCTGACATGCACTGTCTTCAAAGGCTCTTAGGACTCAAGTACAAGAAAGACTTTTCTGGAGGCGGGGTGTCTGGCCCAAAAGCCAAAGAGTGAACAGGCCATGCACCCAAAATTTCAGTTAAAATAAGTGAATTGTCATTTGGCCAAACTGGGTTTCCAGGTCAGCTGCTTTGTTTGAGGGAAAGAAGGACACATGTCTGTGTACAAGCAGGCGACCTCCAGTGCACAGAGACATCCATGTTCAACCCCAAAGTTAGCCAGAAGCCTACCCATCCTCAATGTGAATTTAAAATAACAGAGTACACTTTCCCAACCTGTGATTGTACCTTTTTTGGGTCTGATGAATGTGCCTGTCATAACCAACTAGGTCCCCCCCCCCCCCCCGCCGAAAAAAAAAAAAAAAAAAAAAGAAAAACCAGAAACTATTAATCTATTAATGGGAGGAAGGAAGGACATAATTGGTAACTGTTCAACACCTTCCTGTCTTGCTTGGACCACAGCCGGTCTCAGCACACCGTGAATGAGCTGGCAGCCCAACAGGACTCACATCAACAATACTGGGCTTCTGATCATGACAGAACTACAGGAGAGCATAGGAACCCCAAAATAACAGCATTATTAGAAAAAAAGAGGCCCAGATTCCTCTTCCATTTAGATAAGTTGTTACGTGTTTAGCATCTACAGCGTACGTGGTTTGTAGACAGGCTCTCTAGATCCTCACATCCTTCATCTCTATTTTACAGAAGGAAACCGAAGCTGAGGCTAACATGCGTAGCTAGGAACTGCCAGGAATAGCTGAGGTCTGATTCCAAGGCCCACCTTCTTGCAGTTCTACCTCGATTCCTCATCTGAGTTGTCTTTGAGTATGACCATTTCAATCATGAATTATATCATAAGTAACTCTCTGACTGCCACACATTTTACATCGATCATCATCAACAAAGACGTTTGAATTTATTTATGTTTTTAACTCAATAATTCCCCTAAAGTGTTTCATGCCCCTTAGTCAATCCTGAGACTTGCTCAACAATTATTAGTTTTCTTAAAATGTCAAGTATAACCCATAAGAAGAGGTAACTAAGTTCTGGTCCATTAGGGAGTTGATGTCCAACGTCCTCGCCTCCTTCTGTGCATAAAGAGTGTTGAGATCCCGCAGACCTGTTAAGCTGGTGTGGGTACCTGTGCCTGCTGCAGCCCTGGATACTGAGGGGGCTGAGGGGAGGGCCGAGCCTGTGCAGCAAAGAGAGCAGCCTGGTCCCCGGGTGGGCCCTGGAAGACAAAGCCAAGGCAAACTCGAGGTCAGCACAGCAAGGCCTGGGTTTGAGCTTCTGGCCCATGATCCCGATGATCCTCGACACCGTATCTTATGACATGAATACAGAAGTCACCGACTTCTAAGCTGTCTTCACTGCTATTCCTTGTTACTTCCCCATGTGTCTGGAGTGCTGAACTCTTCTTATAAGACTACAAAGAGACACAATAGGAACCTGAGAGCCAATGTCTGCGCAGCTGAGAGGCTCAGCCAGCTCCCAGTGCACTCTGGGCAGGCCGCCACTCTGGGTGAAGGGCGTGAGCCAGAGTGCAGGCATGAACCCCCCAGCTGCCCTGTGCCCACCAGGCACGAGAACAAGTGGACACATCAATGGCACATGGACACCCACGGCTCTGAGGGGAAGCTCCTTCACAGTGACCTAAAAGTCGCCTATTTAGTTACAGATTCAAGGGGAAATGTGAACCTACCATGACAGTCTATTAGAATACAGTCACTAAATTTATACATTGTTAACTGCAAATACAATTCTAACCAACTACGTGTAAAATAAAACCTATGAGCATCTGTCCACCAGTCTTGACCCATGTTTTGGCCTTAGGAAAATAAACATATTTTAAGAGGAGCTATCTGCTTGTTGCATGTTTTGACAGCAGGTTATTCTGTGGAAACTTGCAGTGATAATCACAGAAAGAAGCCTGGCTTCCTACCATCACTGGGCTTTTTCAGGACTGACAAATTGTCAAGATTGAGGTACACTGTAGAATTATTTTATGATTGGCTTAAAATAGATACCCTAATTTTAGAAAGTGCTGAATTATGGTTTCTTAAAATGGTTTTAATGCATTTGATGGAAAGTGGATATTTCTAATGAGAAGAAGGGGATATACATTCGGCCTAAGAGGGTGAGCACCACCCACGAGAAAGAGCGCTGCACAGGCTGGGCTGGGCTCATTCTCTCCAGGGGGCAGCAATGGCTCCATGTTCCTCAAGTGGGGGACGCCGAGCTCCAGGAGCTGAGGGGGATCGCAGGCACACCCACCAGACCTGCAGAGCGGACCAGACTCCAAAGCCGGCGCTCCACAGGTGGTACGAGGATGAGAAGACTGCAGTGCTCACTAAGTAACCTACTCCTTAAGGATATATAGCTACTTAAAATTAGCGATTAAAGGAGAATTTCTCTTAATACTTGTTAATGAAAGGTTAAATCCAATGTTTTCATCAGATGGCCTATACTTTGATCCCCATAAAATGACTTGGGTTACTAATGGGGCTCCCACCTCTCCCCAAGCATCCTTGCATGGGTGGAGGACAAGTTTCTGAGACTATCACCTAAGGTATCTGCACAGGACAGCTTTAGGAAGAATCCAACTTGGCAGAATAGGGTTCTAGGAAGGTACTGTTAAACCCTATGGGGCTGGGTCTAATAAAACAGCCCAAATTCTCTGTGTGGTCATGGGAGCCTAAACCTGCTCTCCCCAAAGTATCCAAATGCTTCTTGATCTTCCACAACCCTTCCAAGGAATCATCAAATCTTTAAACATTGGCCCTTTAAGTCAATGCTCCTTGACGTTACACACATAAGGACCCTGACAAACATTATTGGGCTTTGTTGTGGGGACAAAGATATGAATATTATCATTTTAACAGTCTAGAAAGAAAAAAAGACTATTTATATGTGAGTTGGCATCTTGGATCCGTAGGTGGTCTGCAAACCTGTGCTCAGGTTTGGCTTTGAGGGAAACAGGATGTGATCTCTACATGACAGCTGCAGGCAGATGCACAGTCAGACATTTTCTAATTCTTCCTCCTCTGCCATTGAAGAACCTTAGAGAATACACAGGGATGGGGAGTAGAAAAACTGGAATACTAATGACATGCTAATACCAACGATGTGCTAATACTATGAGACTGGACAATATTCATTTACTTTACTGGTAAATATTAGTTGAGGTCATAGAGATTTAAGAAATATGAACTTAAATTTATTTTTAAGAATCATAAAACTCACATTTCAAGGAAAGGCATCATAACTTTAAAAGAAGGTAGAAAGAGATTAAAAAAAAAATAGTTTGACTCTCTAAAATTCACCTTTAGACATCTGCCTAATAGGTGTGCTATTCAGGTGGATCTCTCGTCTCTCTAAAATTCACCTTTAGACATCTGCCTAATAGGTGTGCTATTCAGGTGGATCTCTCTTTTTTTCAAAATTCACCTTTAGACATCTGCCTAACAGGTGTGCTATTCAGGTGGATTTCTTCATATATATATATATATATATATATATATATATATATATTCTAATTTGTTATATATGACAGCAGAATGAATTTCAATTTAGAGTACACATATAGAGCATAATTTCTCATGTCTCTGGTTGTACACAAAGTAGAGTCATTTTTAGCTCCCTCCCTGGTGACTTCTCCTACTGTCCTACTCCAGTACAGCAGGAGTAACCGAGGCAGGCAGTGGCCCCTGGGAAGATGGCGAGCCCCGCTGCCTGGCGTTCCCTGAAGCGTCCAGTCAGCCCAGGCTACCCTGAAAGGAAGCACCCTCGTGCTCCTGCCAGACTAAAACTCATTCCTACTTTTGTTTGTTTTTTCCCAGAATAATGCCAGGAACACACCATTTCAACTTGTAGAAAAAGTCCTATTTCTTAAGGAAAAAATAAGTAAGAAAGTTTTTCAGTAACTTGAAAGGTCTGACATATGCTAATCAAGGACCCAAGTGCAGGAACAAGGGGAAAAATCAGTACAATACTCTCAGCGTCAGCGGATGTAGTCTTGGCTGTGGTAAGCCAAGAGCATATGACGTATCCTACAAACTGGACAGGCCAGAACAACAGGGACAAAGTGAGGCCAGGCCTGGCACACCAGGGCAGAAGGTCACTTTGATTATTTGTTTTTTTCTAAATACGTCTTGAGCTTTATTTATTTTTAATCAGTTCCCAGCAGGGGAGCTGGCACTCCGCAGGGGCACAGTGACTACCTTATGAGGAAAACTGAGACTGAGAGCCAGAGGTAAGTGGGATTTGTATTTCAGCATCAAGTACTTTACCAAGTGTTCTCCAAAGCCCTGCAGTTCTCAGCAGGACCTTTGGTTTGGAATGCTTTCATGTCTGGTGACTACCATGCTAAGGATCCTTCCTCTGCCTGCATCAGCATCTGGACAGGAGCTCCATTTCTCCTCTGCCTAACTGAAACAGAGGCAGCATCAACTTCATAGTTTTAATCATGGAGAGAACAGTCCAGGAAGCCAGGCAGGCTCTGCCTTAGAGAACATCACCAGGAGAACGGGAGACACCTGAGGCCCTCATGCTCAGGGACCTGACTTGCACACATTCAGGGAACGATCCACATCAGTGGTCATGAGCTGGTCCCTGCATTGCTGAGCTAAACTTCTGTCTCCTCACTTCATTTTTATGCACTTTGCTTTGGACTTGCCCCTATGAACAAAGCACAATCCATGATATCTTCTAGAACGTTCTCTAAATACTCCTGAGGCAGCTGTGCTGTCGGGGCTGACTCACCTTCTTAGCTTCCATGAGAACAATCTTCTCTCCTACGGCTGGATTTTTTTTAACCAGACAGGAGAGGTATCTAAGGTCAAAGAAATGCTGAACTAGAAGTCTTGTGCACAATTTGAAATCTGTGCATCCAGTAAACCTAACATTTTTGATAAAACATCTTCATCCTTTTCATTTTTCTGGATCTGCTTGTCTCTGTTAGCCACACCCTCTCGGTTACCTGGGCACATGGGAAGGTCTCTTTCTAAAGGAGAACTGGTCTCACCACCAGTTAGCAGTCAGTAAGCAGCACGCTTCAGAATCATCACTAGTGACGATTTCTCCCAATTCTTAATTAGTGACTTTGCAACAGTGTTTAAGGGTTGCAAAGAGACAGACTGAATCTGGGAAACCACAGCCAGATTTTATACCTGTTTCTGAAAATGCCATTTTAGGAAAAATAACAAAAGTTACACACAACAAAGCCAGTGAGTCCTGTTTTATGAGTCACGGCCAGAGGGCCCCACTTAGGACTCCTAGTTGCAGAGGAAATGGTGCCCAGGGCTGGAACACCAATGGTGTGCAACAGAAGTTATGGTCAACTCATCCTTGTAAATTTACAAGGAAAATTCCAGAATTAAACTTGATAAGCCATTCAACTTGACCCTGTATTAGTTTTCACTTCAAATATAACTTTGTTGGCTTCAGCTAACACTACCATTAACGTTAATTCTAAAATCAACATATCTCAATAACGAACCTTTACAATGTATTCTATTTACATGCCCATAAATGACAAATCTAATGAGTTAAGTATATTTTCATTAAGTTCTAATAGGAGAAATTAAAGAAAAATTAAAGGTAAAAAGACAACAAAGATACACATTTTGATTAACTTGAATGAATACAAAATTCAGAACCTTCTTTTGACTTCCAAATACCTAGCTGACAAAATATTTTGTCTGTAGTAATACTTTAAGAAAGTTAATGACTCATACAAACTGTTTTCTATATGAGTGACATTATTATCTGAATAATAAGTGCATTAGAGCAAACATAAGCTATATCCAAAATAGTTTTAAATTTGATAGCTCAAGTTATTTTTATTTATTTATTTATTTATTTATTTATTTATTTATTTTTGTGGAGGGCTACTGGGAATTGAATTCAGGGACACTCGACCACGGAGCCACATCCCAGCCCTATTTTGTATTTTATTTAGAGACAGAGTCTCACTGAGTTGCTGAGTGCTTCACTTTTGCTGAGGCTGACTTTGAACTCGTGATTCTCCTACCTCAGCCTCCCAAGCTGCTGGGATTACAGGCGTATACCACTGCACCTGGCTAGATGGTTCAAGTTTTGAAATGAGTAAAATCCACATCTCCCTATGCTTTAGAGTGTCAAGAAAAATTGATATTTTCGGGAAAGTTTTCAAATTTTCCTCTACTTAAACTACTACTGGAGAAATAACAAGTATTTAGTAGCATCCGTATTTTTGAAGTTTGAAGATGCAGTTGGGGCTATTTTCAGTGATGTACAGACAATAGGACCCATTCATTGGAACTGAAACAAGTGGCTGTACACCCACATCTGCACTGTGTGTTCTCGTCTATCCCAGTGCTTCCTGGGCCTGTGCCATGGGTTGGCTACCTGACACAGAAACCTATGAGTGACTTAATGCAAACATGCATTCTTGGCCAGCCCAGGCAAAGCAACAGAGGCGAAGTCGTAACATGCATGCACAAGACCTATGCTCAAAAAGGAAAAAAAAAATAATCTTCTCCATACCGGAAAGAAAAATAGATGATGCATTTTTTCAAGAATCTGGAAATAGGCAAGTGGGATGTGATGAGAGGGTGCTTTCGTAATCATGGTCATCGCTGTCTGGTGCTGGCCTACAGATCAGCATGCCATGCGTCCCTCCACTATGATGCCCAGGACCACAGGGAAAAGCACGGGCTCTGGGGCAGACGGGTTCACACAGGGCCAGCCAGGCTGCTGGCAGGTTTCTACACCATGTGCGAATATGATAAGAGCCATGAGGGGGGTCTGTGGGACGATTTCAGAAATTAATTCCATGAAGCGGAACATGGTCAGTGCATTCATGGGTCTGTCAGTGAAATGAGGACTGCAGGAGGGACCAGCCGGAGCAGGGAGACCCATTTTTTGCTGTGATGGTCAAAAGGAAATGCTCTAAAAGTTTACTTAAGAAACAAAAATGAGTAAAAGAAAGAGAACGGAATGACAGCAGGGGCGTTACCATTATGTTGTCAAAGTCTTCCAGAAGGGAGACCGCGGAGGCACAGAGGTCCTACAGAGAGGGGACAGCAAGAGAACGGCAGACACACAGATGAGACTTCGAGCCCAGCGACGTGGGAGCCCACATACATGGGAAATACTTCATTTTACAATAGTGCTTCAGGGAGTCGGGTCTTGGGCCCAGGGATGCTGATAAAGAACACGGAAACAGTCACAGAGGAGAACAGCATGATCCGGAAGTTAAGTGGTGATATAAAAGAAGTAGGGAGAGATCAGAGATTTCTGTACGGAGGGAAGGTGAAACCGGGTGAGTGACAGGGCAGGCTTCTCACCAGCCCAGAGCCATCCATGGACGGCTCAGGACCAGGGGGCTGCACAACAGACAGAACAGGACGTGAGCGAGGCAGTAGGCTGGACGGTGCCCAACGAGTATAGTTGGAAACAGAGAAAGGGCACCTCACACCCCACCAACCTCAACAGGCCACAAGCACGCATTCGCCGAACCTCCTCGCTCACACCAATTCAGGGAGTCTGATTTATAAAAAGGCAACTGGCTGCCGTGGCAGAACTGCCACTTCTCAGGTAAATGGTTCCCTGTCTGATCATTTTTATCACTGGATTCCAAAGGATACAGTGACTGGGTGTTAAAATTCTCCTGAGCTGAGTTCTAGGGACAGACATAAAGTAAAGGATTCTCAGAAAAAGTGTTTCACTACTTTTTCGAAGGATTACAAAGCCCGGGAGGAGCTTCCCAAGCAAGTATCATCCCACTTTAGGACAAGGTGCATAATTCACCGCATCATATATGCTGGTCTTCAGGCTTAATTAACAGCTACTCCAGTATTAATGGTTCATTTCCTTGCCCTTCCACCCTAATCTTTTGCCTCCCTCATAAAAATCAAGCTATGTACACCATCCTCTGGCTCATTACATTTGCCTAATTGCAATTTCAGCAAATGAAATCAGCAGCTTCTGCACTGTTGTTGAAACAACAGAGAAACAGCAGATATGAAGTAAATGAGCTAAATAACCACGTCCCTGCACACACTTCCACCCAAGGAACTCAGTGAGAGGGATCAAGGCACAGCTACCAGCTCAAAGGCTTTCCACCATGAGCAGGAACTGAACCCGGGTGCTTTGCCATTGAGCTCCATCCCCAGCTGCTTTTCATTTTTGAGACAGGGTGCCACTAAATTGCTGAGGCTGGCCTAAAACTTTTAATCCTTTGGCCTCAGCCTCCCAAGACTCTGGGGTTACACCTGAGTTTGTTTTTATCCCTGAGATGTAAGTAAATTATCCCCTCTGAGTAAGCGCATTAAAGATTATCACCAAAGCTCAGGATTTGTTTCAACAAGACTCTTTTGCCCATCTTCAGCAAATAAAAATATAATTTGAAACATGCTCAATTTATATGAACTGGAAATCAACACAAGGGAAAACCTGTATAATAAGCAAAGTAATAAAACATGCTTAAACTCACAGTGATCAGGAAAGCGGAAACTAAAACATCACAGCATAGCACTGTTTTGCCCATTCTGCTTGGGAAAAGTACAGTCTAACAATGTTGAAGACAGGTGAGTGTGTGCACACAGGAAGGTGCTGGCCACCAAGGGATCACCTCCACTTTGCAAGCCAATCAGCACTTGCGCCTTCAGGCATGTAGCTTCAAATTCTCCACATGTGCAGAAGAAATGTGGGAGAATACTTGCTGCAGCATTGTTAGCAATAAGAAAAAAAGACTGGTAGTAATTTAAATAATCATTAGCAGGAGAATGAGCAAATAATATGCTAATACACATGACAGAATGGCATCCAGCAGGACAAAAGAGTGAATAAAACTAGGTGTAGCAAAGTGGGTATAATTAAGGATTTAGCCACACGCAGTTTCAGAACAATCCAACCATACGGTTATGGAGAGTTTCCAATGTGTAAAGCAACACTGTACAATGTTCACGTCAATGGATGCAAAAGTGTACAGTAAAGGGGTAAAAACATTTTTAAGAAAGAAAAACACACTAACACCTCTCTCTAGAGAGGTAACACAAGATCCTCTTTTATATCTGTACTGATCCTTTTTTCACAAAATGATCTACAGCAAATACAGCAGAACAGCATTATTCAGTGAAACTAGACGGGGCATGTAAGACGTACTGATTCTTGAACTGCACTGCTAAAGAGCAAGTGGGAGGGAGAGAGGAAAGGAAGCGAGCGTTCTCACAGTGATGTGACCCTGAGGGGTGAGATCCCTCATGGAGCCAGCAGGGGCTGCTCAAGGCCCCGGCGCCTGGGTCATGGGAAAGTCCCAGATTCACTCTAGCCCAGGGGCTGCAGGCTGTGGGAAGCTGAGCTAGCCAGCCTGCCCTCTGTAAATTATCTAGCCCCTCCCTAATGTGGGCACATAGAAGCTGAGATCTGCCAGTGGCTGACCACCTGATCTGCTTACCAGTTACCACGAGCTGCACCTGGGTCTTGGTCATCAAAGTCCTCAGGATTCACTACCTTAGACCTAAAAGAAAGCAGTGGCTTTCTTCCTCTCCATTTAAAAGATAGACATATGTTTTGCCTACCATCCTTTGGATTCTTAAAATGAAACAAACTGGCGTTGATTACTACAAACAATGGCAAAATGTTTTTAAGCACTGAAAGGGAAGTTGGGATAAAGCAATAGCACAACTCACGGCTCTACAAGAGTCCCTTTCCCCGGGGAGGAAGTTCGTGCAGTCAGAAGGAAAGCACCTAGTATGCAACTGGGTGATGGGAAAGCACCTCGAGCAGTGTGCCACACTCTGTGAGGGCTCCACAGACACTGCTGTAACTCTGAAATGGGAATGTCCCCATTTAGGCTTAGAACACGGAATTAAATAGTGAAAGTAAAAACATAGACCCCAGTAAGCTGACATGATTACCAGGAAAAGCAGACAACACCGCTTTTATCTAGCAGTCTGTTCTACTAAGTCACGGAGCAAAGGATTGCCAAGTCAGTCTCATTAGAGACAATTAATGTAACTATGCAAGAAAAGCATCTGATGTGCCTTTTTCATGCATAACACATTTAAGGAAAAAAGATTACTTTTGTGGGATAAGAATTTCAAATAAGAAAACCATAATCATAATAAACCATAATAAATCATAAACCACGATCAAAACAGCATGTCCAGCAGCTAACACTCTCTGAGACTTGTGACCACTGTGTGACTGGCCACTGTTGTAAGAGCTGCTACCTGCACCCTTCACTAGTTTCACAGCTGCCCTATAAAGAAGCATTAATGTGCTCTAGTTTATAGACGAGCTGGGACACAGTGTGGTCACCAGGACATTCCTTCTAGGTAAGGGACAATGAGAAGGAAGGGAGGCCACTCACTTCCTGGACGAAGACTGTAACCAGGAAGAAGGAAAACAGGTTTCCTTGTCAAAACACCTTTGTGCTGCGCTCAGACCACACAGCTGTAAGAAGACACACTCAATTGTAATAATGATTATTAGCTCAAATAACTTGACTAGACCCTAAAACAACATCACCAGACATTCCTGAGGAAATAGAAGATGGTCCATACCACAAAATTACAGGACTGCCTGATCTGCACACCTAGACTGTGTAGCAGAAGGAACTAGAGGGTTAGTTTATGATGGTATTCTAGCTTCATCGTGGACCAGCCCAAGGGGGCTGGGTTCTGCAACCTCTCTGTGGGGTAGGAAGAGGCTAAGGGTCCTGTAAGGACTGAGACATGTCCAGAATTCAGAAGTTTAAGTCTCCTCAGGTGCATCTGATTTTGAAACAACAGGAGCAGAGGTCCCTGTAGGGGTCAGCTCTTCTGGAAGCACTCAGAGGGCCAGCTGAGAGGAGGGAGCATGTAGATAATAGTCATACTGCTAGGGACTCAAGTTACCCAGCAGCTCTGGGCTTCTGAAAACAGCTGCTCAAATCCTGCATACTTGCATTTGATGAGCATCTCGGATCTTTCTCCCCTGTGCTTAGTGGATGAAGGGATGACACAGTACAAACAGGCCCAAGGCTCGACCTTGTAAGAAAAGTAGGTGACCAGTGGGGCCACTAGAAAACTGAGAAAGCAGCCCCTAACCGGGCCTGGGGTCTACTCAGGCTGGGAAAGCACCTGTAGAAATGCCAAGATCAGCTGTGAAGAGTAAGATGAATAAACATCTCAACGTGTTTGCTACAATTAGGGAAAAGGTCCTCTGGAATAAAAAAATTTTGCCCAGCACCACATACTCTAACAATTTGTGTAATTCTGCTCTATGCCGGATTTAAGAGGATTACTACCAGGACAAGGTTTTCCTTCTGCAAAACTGTATTTAGCCAGCTTCCAGGCATATAAACCGCCGTGTGTCATCTACTGCTGAAATCTCTGCAGAGCCTCCTGTGTACAGCTCTGGGGAAACGCCACGTTCAAATCTCCGTCCCTCTTGCAGGATCACTGTTTCCCACGGTGTGTGTGGCTCTCTTCCTGGGGATGTCATGTTCCTCAGTTACCCAGCACTTGAAGACGGGAGAGAAAAACCAGGTGTGGCAGCTGGTGGAAGCTCAGAGACTTCAAGGTGAGTTTCAATCATGAAAGAAGAGAGTGAGGGGAAATGATGACCTCAAAAAACAAAACTAAAAGAAGAAGAATGTAAAGAGAGAAGAGGAGATGACTATTGTACAGCCACTATCACAAAGGCAAGCATTTACCACTTGAAAAAAAAAATTGCCTTTAAAGGTTAATTTAAAAAAAATTTTTTAGATGTGAAGAGAAAAAAAACCCTAACATTATGGCAGCATGCACGCGCGTGCGCGCACACACACACACACACACACACACACACACACACACACACACACACCAGTAAGAACTGCATGGACAGCTGGAGACTCCCCTATTTTTGCATGTTCAGCCGAGCCCTGGATGGTGCATGTGGAGACTGAAGGAGGCCTGTGTCCCTGAGGAAGCTGTGGGAGGAAGGGCAGCAGCCAAGACACTGGTCACAAGCCTGCGTTCTCCACATGTGCATGGATGTCTTTTAATCTTATAGAATTTACTCTATTAAACCTCTTTGAAAATGTTGGCTTAATGTGGAATCGTTTGTCACCGCTATAGGAGCTTCTGAGAACAGGCATGGCCACCCGTGAACAGCTTAGTGGCTCTAACCCATTGCCCAGAGCCCTTTTTGGTGATTCAAAGCTGAATTCAGCAGGAATAGCTGGAAAGTGGGCTATAAATAAAGAGAATAGCTTGTGATAACAAGGTGACATGGAGAAATAAACAGGACAGACTTTGCTTAGGCTTGACTGCTCTAAAAGGGAGCTAAACCCTCTATACTTCAATGGTTTATCAACTTCTAGCAAATTTTTTATCCATCTCAATAAAGATTTGAAGCAATTTCATAACTACTTTTGCACATCCCCAAGAAGAGCTAAAGACCCAATGATGTTTTAAATAGCTCCAAACAGGTTGCTTATTTCAGCAAAACAATGTTTTTTTAGATATTTTAATCAAAACTCAGGATTTATGTAAGCAGCAGCTCAGGCCCACCTTGCCTGACATCCAGGGGTTATGCCAGTCACTGGAGATCAGAGAGAGACCACAAGCAATGATGCCTGTCCACATCCTCCCATGTCAACTGGCCTCCTCTCCCTGGTCCCTCTTGTAACTCAGGTAACTATGGATCATTTTTTAGAATGAATAACTAATCTTGCCCCCTCATCCCCCAAATCACTAAGTGGCCCAAACGTAGAAATGCCCTAAGTTACGCAATGGAGATATGTTTAGGAAATTACTCAAAAGATAAATTCTAAATAAAGCATTTAAATTTCTTGCTGTTTCAAAAATTCAATGATTTTTTCTTGATGCATGGCACGTCTTTAGATGGTGAGTCCATCTTAGGATTGCAAATGGTCACGGGGTGCCGTGGAACCAGGACAGCTAACACCGTGCTTGGCTATGTTTGGGCAGACAGCAACGTGCTCCATCAGGATGAAGTCTTATCCAAACTGTGCATACCCGGGTCAGAAACTCCAGGAAATAAACAAGTATGTGGACACTAGAAAAGAGTTGCTATCTCATCTCACTGTTTTTACTTAAATACATTTGCATGGATTCATAGATTTCCTGAATCTACTCTTAAGTATTGTGCAACTTTCACTGATCAAACACTGTTTATTAAAAGGGCATAAGAATAGATATATGAATCGAAAATTAAATGTCCCCACACACTGAGTGCAATTTGTCACTTATTCACAGTCTGCTATTCTGCTATGGACCTTATTAAGGATTAACAAAAACCAAAAAGTCAAGGCCAGGTGCTGTCAGAGAAGCCTAAGCAACCCCCAGCTTCAGAAAGACAATCTGGAAGTAACCCATCTAACACTAACGTGGGACAGAGGAGCTGACAGGAGCTGTAGCAGGGCAGGAATGCTGAGCAGGGACCCCCTAGGGCAAAAGGCGCCTTCCTTTAATTAACTAGAATGTCATTGTGCTTCTTTTTATTTTGAGACATGCTGTTAATCAACCTTCTTTGATCAATGATAATAAAATTTAGAGGAGGAAAATGACTCATATGCTCTATTAAGGAGAGAGACCTGCATGCTCACGTGCTCACGTGAGTCCGACCTCACCCGGGCCAGAGGCGGGAACAGCTCGCAGGGCACTGTGCTGTGGGCCTGGACGTACCTGCTGGAAGGGCCGGGCCTGGGCCTGCCTAAGGAGCCTCTGCTGCTGCTGCTGCTGCAGAAGCTTCATCTGGATCAGCTGCTGCTGTGAGGTGATGGCGTGGAGGGAGGGGGGCTGCATCATGGCCCCTGATCGCCGCTGCAACATGTTGGACAAAGCTTGCTTGGTGTTGGTTGGGACAAAGGAGCCTGCAGGGTCCAACCTGGAGCCACCTACAAGGCAACCAAAGGAAGGGCTTTCTAAGTAGGCAATCGCAACTGCTCTTCTTTATCTTGTCAACACGCAGAGACTTCATCGTCTCAGCCTCAGTTTATGAGCAAAACGGAAAATAAGGTATTGACCTCCATGCTGCAAATGTTGAAGATTTGTTGAGTGGCATCATTCCCAGAAGATGGGTAGACTGACAGAGCTATAATCACAATACCTTAACAGAGGCTGTGCTTTGATTACAAATTGAAAGGCCTGAAACAAGGAGGATCTGGCATAATTCCAGAAGTGTGTGGGTTTAACTTACCTGATGCCCTCAGAACAAATTACCTGCATGAAACACATCCCGGGTATATTTTGGCCACTACCCTGAGCTAGGCATACAAACCTTTTAAAAATTTTAAACAGATTTGAAGCTCATGTTGCTTAAGCTCTTTTTCACAATGGGCAAAATAAGGATGCTTGTTTTGTAGAACAAAGGCATGAAAATAAAAACTTCAAATATTCTGACATTTTAAATAGCATGAAAATAAAGACAAAACATTTCTTTTCTGAAGGCTGAAAATCCAATAAATTGGGCACAATGATCTGCTGCCTAAGAAATCAAAGGAATCCTGAGCACATTTGCATATATAACCTGTCAAATGCAAGAATGAATCAAAAATTTTTTTTCAACGTTTTCTGGCTTTACAATGAATGCCAACCCTTCCTCCCCTGAACATAGTCTATATTCTTTGATGTATATGAAAGGAAAGTTCTGAGTAAAGATAGATGACATCATTTCTAATGAGCAATTTGTTTGATGGAAACAAATATTCCAAGAGGGTTCACATGGAAAACCTGTTATGTTAAAGACTCTGCACCCATCGGCAGTGTGACTGGAATTTACTCAGCGGCATCTGAAGAACAGTCTTGCAGCACAGGGAAGTAAACCAAGGGACACAGGCGACCCCGGCTGTGGCCGGCCCTACACCAACACTAGACCTGTGCAAACTGTACCGGAGACTCATTCATGGAAAATGGGAAACTGGTTAAAAGGGGACAGTGACACGCATCCTTCCTTTCTTTTGTTCATTTGTTTTGTTTTCTGAGATGGGGCCTCACTGAGGGCTGGGGCTGGCCTTAACCTGAGAATTCCCTGGCCTCTGCCTCCTGAGGGGCTGATGGGCACACATTACCATGCCTGGCTTCTAACCCACTTTCTTTAAATTTTCTTAACTCTGGTATAATCTTGTACCTCTGAGCCAACTAAACTGTTATAAATATGGCTAAAGTCCCCTAAGTATTCCTCACCTCCTACTGAACATATTCTGAATTGAGAATTGAGTGTCCATTACTCCCTGGCATTTCAGCATACTGTGCCTGTGCAAACAGCTACACAAGATGGACACAGGGGAGGCAGGCAGCAGCGTGTGTACATGGGACAGAGCTGCCTGGCCCTGAAACCACGAGAGTGGCATCTTGCTGTGCGTACACAGCTACAAGTCACAACGCTCTTTTCTTATACAAAACCCAATTCATTATATCCTCAGAAATGATTCTTCTTCAAAACTGCTTCCTTACACAAGTCTATGGCTAAAGGTCCTCAACCCACACACTGTTTAGTGATACACAGGTTGACCTTCGGTGCAGACAGCCTGGTGTTTCTCTTCAACACCTAACAAGTTTAAAATGGCTGAAAAGATGACACAGGCCTTGGGATTATTAAGCTGTAACCTGGATTACACATTTATTACTATGTCTAGTTTGATTACTCTGTGATCATTGCAGTCTACATTCGTTTACTCAATGGCCTTTTATTTATTTTATTCATTTTTTGAGATGGGTCTCACCACATTGCCCAGACTGGCCTTGAAGTCTTGGGTTCAAGGGACCCTCCTGCCTCATCCCCTAGGCAGTGTGACTGCAGGCGTACACCACTGGGCCCACCAACAGTCTGCTTTTCAGAGGCCACGGCGGCTCTGACTCCCTGCGAACACTGTGATGACTGTAATGGGGGAACCCCTGACTTCACAAGGCCGGAAGGTAACAAAATAAGAAAGCAAAACATGGGCAGAGCTGAGGCTCTGGCGGAGCAGGAAGGAGTGGGGCGCACAGTGCAGGGACAGCGTGGCTGGCATTTCCAACAGGGCAGCTGGCACTGACAGCCTAGCTCACACAGATTTTGGACGCAGAGCACGGTGGCAGAACCAGCACAGGCGCCCAAGGTGCCACATCCTGCTCTGCCAGGACCCTGACAGGGCCACATATACATGACATTGACTCTAAAATTTACCCATGTACTTGTGTGCGTGACAAACTTTACTTAATGGTGTTAAAGATTATAGGCATTTTTGTCCTTCAAATTGAACTGATTTCTAATTAAGAGAATGTTTTTATTTAAAAAAAATCTTCCCTTGGATTATAAAATCTAATTAGGCCAAAATGGAAAACAATGCTACAAGCCAGAACATTCACTATAGATATGGTAGTTTTCCTTGTTGGTATCTAAATGTACCTGCTGAACCAAATTTCCAAGTTGATTCATGATATGATTTAAACTTCATATCAGAAGACAAAAGACACTATGATAATGTCTAGTCTTCTAAATGCTACTAAGACTTATATCTCATTAAATGCAAATTTCACAATACAGAGCTTTAATCAACTTTATATCTCACAGTTTAGACTTTAATTAATGGTGATTTTATTCTAACACTAGAAGAAATTCTAAAATTGGCACATGTATTCATAATTGAGACATTAATTTTGTTTATCTACTCCTTCATTTTTTGAGATGGGATCTCACTAAGTTGCTCCAGCTGGCTTGAACTCCAGGCTCAAGTGATCCCCACACCTCAGCCTCTTGAGTAGTGGGGGCCACTGCTGTGAGCCAGCACACCCAGCTGGAACCTTCATTTAGAAGAAGAACACATTTTGAGTGGAGAGAATGTCAATTAAACACTCACTTCTTGCAATTCACAAGTTTTGTTGTGGTTTCATGTTAAAAGCAGCAAGGACCCCAGGCTATTTCTCATCTTGGACAGCTCCAACTGTGACTTCCCTCCCACATACCTGGAGTGAGAGCCTGGTTCTGAAGGAAGAAGCTGGGCTGCTGGGTCTGGCCCATGAGGTTGTAACCCCACAAGGTGGACTGCGGATGGTGCATCATTTGGGAGGAAATGGGTGAGTAGTTGGGAGGCACTCGGTACACGCTGCTCTGTGGATATTCCTTCAATGGAAAGACAAAGCAGAAAGTTCACCTCCGTACAACTCATAACAAATTAATGCAAATTCTTCCTGTTTGGCATTTTTATTTATTTATTTATTTTTATGTGGTGCTGAAGATCAAATCCAGAGCCTCACACATCCTAGGCAGGCGCTCTGCCACTGAGTCCCAGCCTCTATTTGGTATTTGAGATGTCTCCTGCCCCCGTGTACAAAGCTATTTTAATAAAAGGGCAGATGAAAAGCAAGAAGGCTGTTCTCAAAACACTCCTCTGCATAGCTGGCTGGCGATACAGCTTCGTAGGAGAGTACCTGCTAGCACGCACCAGGCCTGGGTTTGACCCCAGCACCAACAACATGAAATAAAGTCAAATAAAAAGTACTTGCCTTGCAGTGGGCAGACACAGAAATGATCATGGTGGAGTGCTTGCCTACACATGCGAGGCCTTGTTTAGATCCCAAGCACCCCAAGAACAAAACAAACCAAAAAGCAAAATACTGAAAGCACACCCCATCTCCCACACTGAAGGAGGCCCACAACTGACAACGCATCCTCGAGGCTACATCGCCTGAAGCCTTCTGGATTCCTGGGTTCACGGGAGAGGCCCACGATTCAGAACAGCTCCTGCTGGACAGTTTCTTACCTGCTCGCCTCATCCCCTGTGGTCCCTCACAGTGGTGCACATGCTCGCACCAGAGCGTCTCCATTCCCCACTCTTCCCTAATCTAGCCCTAAGGGGTGAGGGACAGTAGAAATCTCAGTGTAAAAAGTACATGTTTCCTAGAGAGCAGGTGGCTCTGGGAGGTCAGCAGGAGAGGACCTGACCAGAGTTCCTTGGGGAACAAGAGGCAGAAAGGGGTAGAAGTTTACCCCTGTGCATGTACAGGCTGGGAGGGTCCCGAGGGGAGGCTCCGTCTGCAGTACATTAAACAAAGGCTCAGACTAAGCAATATTGACAGGAAGAGCATCTGGGAGGGGCGCTGACATTCGAGCTGCCCCAGAAGAGGGCCGCCATTTGTAGAACAGCGATGACCACCGAGCTGTCGGCCAACTTGGTTTTGACATAGGTGAACTACAGTGATTCTCCATGAATGTTTCTTATGTCATGCAGCAAGAGCATCCTTGAATTTTAGAGAAAAATATTCAATTCTGTCAACTATTTTCCCAAGTGACTTGAGTGGAAGATATTTTAAAGGTTACATCTCACATTCTATAGAATCATTTCCAAATTATTGTCTGATACATCTCTGATGTTTGAAAGAAAATATTGCTGTTGGTAAGGAATACCAACAGGGAAGTGAGAGGATAAACTATTTTAAATTAAGATTACTTCATCTTTTATGAAATATGAAAGATGGTGAAGAAGTGGAGTAGGCAAGAGGGCCCAGCCCTGCAATAAAGGCGATACCTAGGAATAGCTTAATGGCCATGCTGGGTGTGACTGTATCTAGGGGAAATCATGGACCTTTTGGTTAATATGCTGATGATATCAACCACTCAAAATACAATAAATACTTTAAACATATCTTGTAATAAAAATATTTGAGGGTGGTATTTTATAATGTCAAAGTATTAAAATTTCAAACCTAAGGAGGCACTGAAATAGTAGCCCAATAGCATTCAAGACAGAAGCCTAAAATACAACAAGGTTGTTAAAAGTGCAGGAGGGGAAAATCACAAAGCTTCAACTCTGCGGTCCATGGCCATCATCCCCGCCCTTCAGTTAGCATGCAGGCCTGGAGGATGAGGTCCTGTCAGCTGACACTGATGTCTCTGGTCAGCATTCACTGCCCTGCATCCATCCGCCTGCCCTGCCCTGCATCCACCAGTCCACCATCCTTTATCCGCCCAACCTGCAGGCTAAGGATCCAGACCTCCCTTCCCACTCACATCCACCCTGGAGCTGGATTTCGTCTTGCGCTTCCTGCCCCTGCTCTTCTTCTCTTCCTCTGTCGCAGTTTTCCCCTGATCTGACAGTTCGGCCGACTTCCTTTCTGGCTCCTGAGAGATGGGCGAGGCGGGCTCCTCCTCCTCCTCCTCAGGAGGCAGGGGCAGCGGTTCGAGGTAGTAGCTCCGGGGCTTGGGTGTGGGGTGTGTGTGGTACAGCAGCAAGTGGTGCTGTTCCTCGTACTTGATCACTTTCCGGTCCACACGGACGGTCCCGAACCAGGCCCAGGACAGAGGAGCGGGGTTCTTCTGGCCTTCAAATAAGTCCCACGGGGACACCTTCTGCTTGGCAGAGACCTGGAGGCCCTAGGGTAAAACAATGCTCTGTAAAACGGCCCTCAGATCCCCTGATCCACAAGCCAAGCTTGCTAGCATGGTGGCCCAGAGAGCACCAGGCTGGCCGTGGGCTTTGGAGAAACCCAGGTCACAGCAGACAGGGTAGCTCGGCAGTGGCCAGAGCTCAGTACTCACATGGGTCCACAGTTCCTTATACCACATGACACTTTGTTCAGGCAAAACCACATCATCTAGTGTATTTTACTATAAAACAGCATTTTTCACTTAGTTTGCTTTAGCAAAACAAGTAAAGTTTTAAAATATATTGAAAAGTAATCTTTCTCACTAAATTATAGCCAGTTCTAAATCTCCAACATCTATTTATTATTTTTAAAATAACACAAAATTTAAGGGTCAAGATACAATCACTTCTAACTGGGTTCAGATTAACTTCAATGCAAACCACAGAGCACTTAACTCAATATGCGGCCCCTCCATGCACTTAACAAACGAGGCCTGATAAAGCGGTCCTGTGACAGAGCGGGACATGGGAGCATGCCCGGCCTTCCAGTCCCAGCGAGTCTCTGATGCTCTAGAAGAGGACTGCTATTCTGAAAATAAAACGTTCTTTCTTCTGACGTGAACTGCTGATGTTTCTTATTACTTTCTCTCATATACCAACTTGAACACATTTTCTCTCAAAACAGCCGCCCCAATAACTATCAAGTCATTCCACAGGATGTATGCTTAGATACACTTGCTCTTATGTGGGTGACAGGGCTCAATCACCACCTGTAAAATAACCACCTGTTTCCTACTATCTGTCTTGAGTAAGACCACTGGGCATAAACAGCACACGTCCAAGGGGGCTCTGGCTGTCCCTCCACCAGGGAGCCCAAATTCAACAGGATCACAGCCCAGCCTTCTCTCTTTCCATGGCCACACTTGGTACTGGGTGCTCAGGTGAGTCTGCATGACAGCAGAACACTCTGTCCCAAGAAGACACACTCTCCACATCTCCTCAAGATCTTTTTGTCTGCCAGCCCCACATTCTCCCCTCCCTCCTTCAAAACGACCCACGTGTCAACTACACCAGGGAGCCTGCTCTGACCACCGCCCAGATCTGCGTCTGAAGGCCCTTCCCCAGACCACCTAATACACTCTCAGCACCACGACCCACAATCTCCCTGTTAATTGTCTACCTACTTCCGCTTGAGGGCACAGCTCTGCTTTTATCTCTGTGACTGTGGAACACCTGTGGTTGCTCAGTGTTCACTGAGTGACCACTCTTCTTACACGGCGCAGCAAACCTGCTTAATCTCTTATAGAAAGCAAGTGCTTAGTTAATATTGTTTTGTAAGAATATGAAATACCATATATTGAAATAATTCTGCTCAAAAGAGCTTACTTAGTGCATGAAGATATTTATCAATAAATATCATCTTTTCTAAACCCACTCTTCTTGCATTCTGCAGTAAGATAAAAACTTTGCTGGTTTTTGACACTAAGCCTTTACTTAGTTTTCACTTGGTAGATTTCAGAAAGTTCCTTAAATCCAGGTAAACCTTATAAATTAAGCTCTTCAAAGATCTGCTTGCATTGTGATGCCAATGACCACTGCACTGAGATGACAAGAGTGTGCCTCAAAAAAAACAACAACAAAAACAAGAAACTGCAAAACTGAGGTGTGTGTACACCCTCTAGAAAGATAAGACGACGTATCTGGCTTCTGTGAAAAGCTGCACCGTGCACAGGAAAAACATTTACTCTTGCCTGTTTTTTATCTATTGAGTCGAATCCAGCGATTTTGTTCCCCTTGGTGTCGATCAAGGAGCCCATGGGCTCACAGGTGATGATGTCACACGTCTGCTTCGGCAGAGGCAGCAACTGCCGAACTTTGTCAATGCTTTCTGACCTCTTGTCTCCCAGCTCTTTCTGAAAGGAAAAAGAAAGAAAGAAAGAAGGAAGGAAGGAAGGAAGAAAGAAAGGAAGGAAAAAGAAAGTGAGAAAGGGAAGTGGGCCAGAAACTCAGAAACGACCGTGAAGGCAAAAGTTGACGAGGAGGAAGCTCCCCCTGGAGCATTTCCCTTTTTGAAGTCAGCGTGTTCTTGAACCCTGAACGTGGTCTGGAGAACAGGATCAAGTCAGGCTGGCCTGTTTCATTTCTTCTATTTAAGTAGAAAATAGCCTACACATATGCAGTTGTTGTTACACAACAAACATCACAGTGCTGAAGTGACAAAATTCAGGGTGCCATCTGCAACCAGAGGACAGGAGCTGGCGCCGAGCACTTGGGGTCCAGGGACAGACCACAAGGTAACCACCACTTATTTATTTATTGGCTATTTTAAGATCAGCGGATATACTTTCCTTGTTGTGCTATTTATTTACAGTTTGCTTCAAATGATGTGTCAGTGGTTAGTCCAGTGAGTGGATTTACAAATATCAACACAGATGCTTATTTTTTAATTACATGCACAAGTCTGAGCTTGGATTTATCCTAGGTTCAATGTTGGCATTTTGGTTATGTATTTCATAATGTATGTTTAATGTCTCTTAAAAAATTACACGTGTTTTAATATTTAATTTAAAAACAATCTTTTGGATACTTGTAAAGTTTGGGGTATTGGTGAGCTGAAGTGAAATAAATAGCAAATGCATTAAATTAATTTGAATGTAATAAATATTTAAATTAACCAGTAGTAAAAATAAAATGCACCAGATAATAAACAATTTATAACATAAGCCAATCCCAAACTTACTTTTAACTTTTTTACTAAATTCATATATGCACGTTTGTTCTCTTCTGAGCCTCCTGGGGATGCACTTGATAGGTCAGAGGCTAACGTCCCATTGATCAAAACACCCAGCATGTCAAGGACTGTTGTGAATAATTCACTAAAGGGGAAGGAGAACAACTGTTTTCATCATAAAGCACAACTAAAATATACTTAATTAACTGGGCACTTCTACTGATGGCACAATTTTTAATGACACCTGAATCAATAAGATGTAGCAGCATTTGTCAGTCTATCAAGGCCAGACTATCCAAATGCCAGGCATGCATGCGACAGAACACATGTTAAGGGTGCAAAACGTACTTGTTGGTGTGCATGTCCACGGTTCCTGAGGTGATGATCTGCAGCAGCAGGAGGGCCCATTCTGCGGTCCACTGGGTACTCCTCTGCACTGTGTCGAACATCCCTCCCACCTGGCATGCAAACACAGCGTGAGAAAAGACCACCAGCCCTCACTTCATGTGGCCAGAAGGGGAGATGCTCTACTTTATGGAGGACAGATCGCTCTAGCTTCTTTCTCACTAGCTTTGTGACTATCACTACTACTGGGTTCTTTACATAGTTTGGTCACTGAAAAATGAAAAGGGTAATATTTAAGTGTGGTACCTACACAGTTAGTTTTCTTCCTAGTCTTTCATGATATTCAATTTCATGATGCAATTGTAGTTGGATTAAACCTAAATATAATCCAATTATTGGCATCTTGGTGCTTTTTTGTTCCTACTAAATCTGAACCTGAGACCAGGACCACTTTGAAATGCCCACTACACAGATGTAATGATGAACAGGGGCTTGGCCTAAGACCTGCCAGGTCCTGTGTGTGAGGATTAAGTTAAAAACAACCACCCAAACATCAGGCAAGCCACTCTCCAGGGAAAAAAGACATGCAAAGGAATGCACTGTGTGGGAGGAAGCCCACGTTTCCATACAGCACCCTGTGAGGCAGGTCTTCCTAACAAATCTAACAGGAGGTCTCCCACGATGCTGAGTTGAAGGACTTTAAGGTTCTTAAAGAAGTGTCACAAGAGCTAGTGCTCATCTCAAAATTGAGTCCTCTGAGACCCAATCACAGTATAAGCTGAAGCAGAAGGGAGGTGGGCTGGATGGGGTGGGGACAGAGAGGATGAATCATTCTTAAAATACCTTCTGCTGTCTGGAACTCAACCCAGACAGGAAGGAGAGCCAGGAGAAGAAAAGGCTAGAGACATGGGGAAGTCCTGAGGTCTTGATTATATTTAGGCTCTGCTCATGGACACAGGTGAGCACTGGAGCCATGGTCACAAACGTCCATGAGCAAAGAGGGCACACTAGACCCACCCCTTACCAAGTTCAGGCGCAGCTGCAGAGCTTCGTGCATCATCTGCCGAGCCTTGATGTCATCCTGGTACCTTTCTTCCTTCCAGTTACTTAAAATCTAAGACCCCAAAAAGAAAAAAAGGAAAAACAAAAACTTTATCTCTGTTAAAATTGAATCTTTTTCATATTTAAAGTAAAACTAAACCTTTCCCAGACAGCCAAAAACAACTTCCGCTTTAACAAGGAATGTTGCATAACATTTCAGCTCTGTCCCTTTTCCTTGTGCACACAAAAACCTGGTCATTGCTTTGTTTATTTGCCTTTCAAGGTGGGGAAGTAAATCTTATCTAGTTGCATGTACTGCCTCTAGGTCTTGGAAAAAGCATCAGAAAGCCATCAAGTTCAAACTTAACACATTTATTAACCCTAACAAATGTATTATGTTGATCTTATTGAAAAGGAGGCTTGCTATCTTCAGGGACACTAATTCCTTGATAAACAACAGACTATTCTGAAAACTGTGGATATCAATCAGCTGAGCAGCATTTCAATTTAGAAAGTGAGCTGCTTCTTCATTTCCTCGCTGACTCAGGCCAGTGCTGAGGACAGGAAAGTTCATGAAGAAAGGCAGGCCACAGTGACCACACCCAGGCCCAGACGACAGGTTGACTAGCTAACAAACCCAGCATGGCCACAGAGAGCCACAGGTGGAAGTACCCTCCCAGCAGATGTTCCGCCAGCACATGCCATGGCCAGGGGAGAGTGCTTCCCTAACTTCTCTAGGAGGCTTGGGCCCCTCAGACTGAATGCCGGGTGCAGGGCTTAGGGACACAGGTTCTCACAGGGCTCACAGTATAGTAGCAACATGAATCAAAACAAGTGAATCAAGTGGCCTGAGGCAGGGCGAGGCAGGGCAGGGGTGGTAAGGATAGAGGCCCTATTTTCAGAGGGCAATCGCCACGGCCTCTCTAAACTAACACCTGAAGGAAGGGAGAAGCAGGCCAGGCTGGCACCTAGAGGGAATCCTTTCAGCTAAAGGGGAGAGCAGGTGCTTTTGCTTGAGAAGCAGGAGAACAGAAGGAAACATGCCAATGTGGCCCTGCAAGTTGAGCAAGGCGGTAACTGGTAGGAAGCAGGCGGAAGAGAGCAATCTACGAATTGTTAGGGGGTCTAATTAGCCCAGACTGGATTTTTATTCGACGTATAAAAAGAAACATGGGAGCATCTTAGACACAGGGATAGTAAGTGCTTTGCATTTTAAAAGCATCCTATCCAGCAAGGGAGAGATGACCAGAGAAATACATGAAACCATGCACTTGTTCATGTCCTTTCAGTATCCCTAGGAAAAAGGCATGGGTGTCCATAGGCACAGTGCTACAGGAAGGGGCCACCGGCTCTGCACGGGGATGGGCCATCTCACACCCTTGGCTTCTTCTTCCCACTCACTTGACTTGATTCCTTGCACTGATGTTTCTGACCTGGGCACTCAGGTTCCGTGTAGTACACAGAACACAAATGCCCCAAGCTGCCCAGAAGAACTAGGGGAGTGGAAAAAAAAAAATCCCAAAGCTTTTGTGAAGGAACAAACAGGCCTCCAGCTTACAAGTGACTTTCTTGTGCACTTGGCTGGCATCAACCCGGCTCTCGCAGGCCAGTAAAATGGTTCCTGAGCCTATGGAGCTCAGTTGGAGACCGTGTTGGGTGGCAGCCCCACCTGAGGAATGGACTGCTCCTGGGAGGCAGAGCGGGAGTGGCAGTCACTGTGCCTCCCCGGGGCAGGCCATTCGATTTTTCCATCTATACACATCTATGCATGATTAATATGACAGGTCTGTTACCCCTGAGGAGACCAGGATGACAGGTAGGAGACAGGGCACTGCCTGGCCTTGAATGGAAGCCTGCTGTGCCCTTCTGTAAGCTCAGCACTGGACTCTGCTGGCAGCTGCTGGCCTGCTGGACACCACGGGGTCCTTTACCTGGTTCACTTGATTCTGCAGGGATGTTAGCAGACCTTCTCGTTGTTCATCCTGTCCCTTGAGACAGGTGAGGACCAGCGAGAGGAATGGCTGTTGACTCAGGAGAGACATGCTGCAGGAAGGAAGCACAGTAAGATCAGCTAGCACCTGCTGTTCCGCCTACCTCCTAGGTCCTGTCCCCTGGGTGTCTGCTCCTGTGTATTTACTATAGATGAAGGGGGATGGGGAATAGCCAGAGAGGCCTGGAAAGTTAAATCACACCTCTGCTTACAAGGTTAAAGATACTAATGGTTCTAAATGAGTGGATAACAGATAGTGCTGATGCCAGAAGGCACCCCAGGGAGGTGAATCTGCACTGCTGTGAGTGCCCTGGGGGTTGAGATGGAATACAAGGAAAAAACGAGAAATTTCTCAGTCAATACTCTTATTTTAGAGTCTAGGAAACAGGCTTCTATGTATGTTATGAATATTTGGGGGCTTTGCCTTAAGTTTTCAAGACCAAACAGCAGGGTGCTGGTACAGTTAGGATCAGTTGCAAGATCTGAGGATTCCAAAAATGGGGTTCTTGCTAGTGACCTAGGGGTACCTCCAGCCTAAGGCCATGGGTAGTGGGGCATCAAGGCACTTGGCAAAAATTCTATTTTAAATTGGCTTCTTAATAGAGTATCTGCAATTAGAGAACAATAATGAATCCATGCTCCATTGGAAAACAAAATCTAAGATAAAATATTAAGCTTCATCTTATAGGGGCAGAATAGGACGCTTTCAACCCGGGAATACCACCTGTCTGCCCAGTGGGAGGAAAGTGAGGCAGTATAGACATGAATGGCACCAGCAAATGCAAATTGAGAGGTCAGGAAGGGCAGCCACTGACAGTACTGCCAACCGCTGGATAAGGACATGGATGTCTGGAATGTTTACGAAATACAGGAATCGTTTTTTCCTTTTTATTGGAATGCTGAGTCACATTGTTGGGGTTTTAGTGATCAATAACAGTGATCAAAAAATTAGTTTATGGCTTAGAAGTTGTAATATCTAATCTAGCACAAGAGCCCTAAATGTCAGAAATATTGTTAAGTACTTCAAGGTTCAGCATGACAATAATTACAAGTAGTTCTGTGTTTTTTAAACATGAGTACCTAATTAATAAGAAAGTTAGAAATAATTAAAAATAAAATCCAGAATGCAGGCGGCTCTATAGATCCCATTCAAGATGGGACGTGGGGCTTGGAGTGGACAAGTTCAGAGGCCAGCAGGGATCTGGATGCACAAGTGAAGTTGAGAATGAGTGTGGCAAATCTCACAACCTGGAACGTTTTAGGAACAGGGACTTTCCTAGAAGAAGATTTTTCATTCCATTTAAAAACTAAGTTTCGGTGGGTGTTGGGTCTAAGAACCGTCAGGTAGAGCGTACTAGAATTCCTCAGCTGTCCTTCAAACTCGCCCAGAGACACCCCAGGAGCCTACCTTTTCTGTTTCTGTCTATCACGCTCCTTTTTGGAAGAAGAACCCAAGTGCTGCCCCTTCTCCAGCTCTTCCCCAGCAGCCTTCAACACCCGCCCCTGCACAGAGGTGGGCAGCCTGGCGATGAGGGGGGCCACCAGCCACACGCCCCTGCGTTCAGAGGAACTAAAATCAGAAATAGGCGTTACACCCGAGCAAGCCTGAGTCTCTGCTCTCACAGTTCCACAGAAACTTCAGAGCACAACTCTGGTGCACCAGAAGCACACTACCCCCAATTCCCTTTGATTTCTGCACTATCTTTCCTGAAGACCAGGCCCCTGGTCACACTTGCCACCCACAGTTACCAAGGGGAGCAGTGAAAGGTGCTTCTGGGAGGATACCGTCAACTGAGCTATCTTTTAGCATTTTTCTTTTTGATTCCGGCTCTACGATTAGTGATAATCCTTTTGTCGAACAAACAACACTCTTTGATCATGGTCACAACATGAAATGTTGCTATGTATAATCATACTAATCACAATTTTTTTTTAAATTTTAAGATTCACCAGCTATATTTTCTATCAAAATGATGAGATACAAATCTTCCTTTCATGATTCAAGGATTACCTTGCGATTTCATATGCCTGCCGGATCTAAATCAGAACCCAAATCACCATGAGGCTTGTGAAAAGCTGCCAGTTACTAGAGGTGGCCAAAGTGTTTCCGAGATGCTGAATATCCAGGAACACAGTAGCCCGGGGGGTGAAGGTCAGGTGTCCATGTGCATTCATAACACCAGCACTTACAAAGAGTCTAGGGCAACTAAATCACATAGTGAACACACTAAGATGTCTCCTGCCCTGGCTTTGCCCTTTAACCTATTAAATAGCAGCAACTGTCACTTAGCAGTCATTATTCTCTTCACATTTCCTGCAGCTTAATGAAAAAAAAAATAACTGAGTTATGCGAATGCAATTGCCCATTACGTGTGTAAAGTTCAAGACAGCCCAGTCAACTACCCAGAAATACCTGAGAAAGGTCTTGATTCCATTTTGCCTCGTGCTACTGGTATCAGCGCCCCCGTTGCCACTGGGGTGGAAGAGGCCCATGCCAGAGTGTGAGGAGTTGTTGTTCAAATCCGCGGACTGCTGGAACACCTCAATGGTGGCCTTTGCAATGTTGTCCAGCAGGTTGTTCATTTCAGCCACAGACCCGGAGCCCTAGGGTAGCCAGAGAGAGGCCACGCATGCAGCTAGGTTATCCCAGGCAGCAGCCCAACTTTGCTCCCCGCAGCTCTTCCCACCCAGGCTTGCAACAGCTACTCACAGGGTCCTTCAGGCACTGCTTGATCATTAGCTGAAGTTCCAGCCAGGACTGCCTCAATGTCCACTGCTCCAGATTCTGGGGAAAACAGAAGGATTGAAAGTAGGCAACCCATGTCAACACACAATCAGTCCTGGCAGGATGCCACTCTCAGGAAAGAGCAGGGTGATCTTACACAATACAAGGATTTACATGGGTAAAAGGATCCAATCCTGTTACGTATATTCAAAAGGATAAGCAGTATAAATATAATGTTCCTCACTCAGCTAGGAACTAGAAATGAATAAAACTAAAATTTTTGACTCACAATATCCAATTATCTAATTGACCCCATTCCAAAATGATTTCACTAATTCTTGAATAACATATTTAAGCCTGTCCCTCCATGCAGATCACTTCTCAAGTAAATACAGCACGGACTTAAAATACCAATATTTATCTGATGATTATATACAATTCCCAGCATCTACACCTACCTAGCACTAACTCGTGGCCATTCTACAGGAAAGAAAACTGGGGGAATAAAAAACAGAGTTGACTTGCATCAAGAATTAGCAATGAAAGGGGGAGAACTGATCCCTCTTCTTGCAGTGCACGGCGTGCTAAGGGTACCTGCAGGATGCGCTTGATGTGCTGCCTCTGAAGGTTGTCGCCCTCCGTGCACTCCTTGAGGCCGTGTGGGTAGCAGATGAGCTGCAGGAGCTTCTGAGCTTGCATGTTGGAAAGCACAGGGTCCAGTATCAGCTCTTTGTCTGTACACAACCTTTCAGGTTCTTTTAGGCAATGTTCTCCTACCCATTCCTGGAAGGAAGAAGGCCATTTGTTGGACAGCAACCGGCTTTCCACATGTTTATGTAACATACACTTAAGTCAAAGCAAAATGGCACTTGAGACCGAGGAGAAGCTTCAGGAAAAAATAACCCATAAAAATGTATCTACAAAAAGTGTTAGATACAAAATTTCTGGCATTTTGACTTCTTAAAAATACAAAGTGGAATCTAGATGAGGAAAAAAATTGGAAACAGATGAGTAAAAAAAAAAAAAGAAAGAGATAATACTGGAATGTTTTCCACTGTTAAGAACATAGCATAAAATATTTAGAAATTTTTCTCTTTATGATACTATGAATATGTTACCATTATACAAAATAACTGTGCACATCTATTTGCTATACAGTTATTATTATAATTTTGCTGAGTCAGTGAGCCTGCCAAAAACTTAAGGAAGCTCTATGCCTACAGCTGACTGCCCTCTGGAGAGTGGCTAACTCAGTTAAATTTCTTAGCAGCTTTGCTTCACCATTTTTTCAAATGCAAATTCTTGTACTAAGTGGTTTTAAAAATCATCAGTGTTAAAAGTTTCATTTGACTCTATATGTGTTTCAGATGAAGCCTCTTTTGAAACCACCATGCCAGTGGCCCGATGCTAACCATCCATTAAATAGGTCGCCTGTGGTGTTTATAAGATTTCACATCCAGACACCTCATCAGACCACAGACTACTAAAATCAAGCTCAGGTGCTGGTACCCAGATATCAGTATTCTTTTTCCTAAGTATCAAATCAATCATTCATCCATTCATTCAATCAATTTTCACTTCTAGCACTGACAGTCTGAACCTCCTAATGGGCTTGGACCTCTGGGATCCACTGCAAGAAGTCCACAGCAGGCCCAGCCACCACCCTTCCTGCACTCACCTGCCTGCTGGTTTTGGTCAATTCCAGGTATCAAAACAATTGCAAATGCCTCTGGTGATACCAGGGTGCACTCACAGTGGGGACCAAGGCACAAGTGCCCCTCAGCCCTATGTCCCTATTTAGTGGACTTTATCATGGTGACCACAAACCTACAAAGCACAAAACATGATCTTGATGACTTGACCGCTGTAGCAAAATACAAAACATATAGGGACTGGAAGGATATACCCGAAAATAACAAAACTGGTGAGCTGGGGCAGGGAGGAGCAAGGGATTTGGGAGGAAGAACACATTTCCGGTTATACTCTTGTGTGTAGTTTAACTTTTCTAAGTAGTTATTCTATAATAAGGCTGAGGGGAAAGACTCTAAACTGAATGTAAACAGAAACAAATGAACCCAAATTGATTTCAAATTAAGAATGTATTCACAGTAAGGGAGACAGCCCGATTAATTTTTTTCAGACTTTTTTTATTCAAAATTTTTTATTTGTTCTCATTAGATATATATGACTATAGAATGCATTTTTACATATCATACATAAATGGAGTATTAATTCTTATTTTTCTAGTTGTACATAGTGTAGAATGACACCAGTTCATGTAATCATATATGCATATAGGGTAATAATGTCTGATTCATTCTACTATACTTCCTACCCCAATATCTCCTCCCCTGTCTTCACTCCCCTCTGTCTAATCCAAAGTACCTCTATTCTTTCCTAGCAATCCCCACTCTCTGGGAATTAGCATCTGCATATAAGAGAAAACATTCCACCTTTGGTTTCGGGGGATTGGCTTGTTTCACTTCTCATGATATTCTCCAGCTTCATCCATTTCCAAGCAAATGTCATGACTTCATTCTTCTTTATGGCTGAGCAATATTCCATGTATAAATGTACCACATATTCTTTATGTATAAATGTACCTCTTTCCCCCATCCTCCCCAACATTTATTGGTGCAAGTATTCTTGATAATTGTCATTCTGACTAGGGTGAGGTGGAATCTCAGTGTAATTTTAAATGGCATTTCTATAATTGCTAGAGATGTTGAACATTTTTTCATAAATGTGTTAGCCATTTGTATTTTGTCTATGAAGTGTCTGTTCAGTTCCTTAGCCCATTTATTTATAGGGTTACTTGGGGGAAAGGGGGTTGGTGTTAGGTTTTTGAGTTCTTTATATATCCTGGAGATCAGTGTTCTGAGGTGCATGTGGTAAATATTTTCTCCCATTCTATAGACTCTCTCATTACATTATCAATTTTTTCCTTTGCTGAGAAGAAGCTTTTTAGTTTGAATCCATCCCATTTATTAATTCTTGATTTTACTTCTTGAAATTTAAGAAAGTCAGATCCTGGCTGACATGGTAGAGATCTGGGCCTAATTTTTTTTCTATTAGGCACTGGGTCTCTGTTCTAGTGCCTAAGTTTTTGATCCACTTTGAGTTAAGTTTTGTGCAGGGGGAGATATAAGGGTTTAATTTCATTTTGTTACATATGGATTTCCAGTTTTCCCAGCACAATTTGTTGAAGAGGTTATCTTTTCTCCAATGAATGCTCTTGGCGCCTTTGTTTAATGTGAGATCACTGTGTTTACTGTAAATAGTAAAAAGTGAACTGCAGAAACCTTTCCATTCCTCTTGGCAGGCTTGTTAGGCCTAGTGGTAGATGCTAACAATTTGGAAATTATTTTAGGTGTATTTTATAAGTAAGTAATAATTGATTGAGGAACCAAGGTTCTTACTATGCAAAAAGGCTATATTAATATGCAATGCGGCAAAGTAAAGCACAGCTTTGTAGGTTGGCGTAGAACTGGAAGCATCGTGTGAACTCATAGAACATGCACGTTCAGTTTTGTCCTAGCTCTGTCCACTGAGAGAACCCAGGAGCAAGGGTACTCCATAGCAATGAGTACACACAGCATCCAGACCTTGTTTCTAAGTATCACTCTTCTAATTCTCAAGGTAATTCTGAGGCAGGGCAAATTCAAGAAGGAGCGCAAAAATACTTTAAAACAAACAAAAATGACAAACACCAGGATAAAGGAGTCCCACTAAATCTCCCTGGAACCATGTGAGTGTTAAACTTCCCTTCCCGGGACAGGACCTTATGACTCATGTGGATCATAAGTAAGTAGACAGGGAAGAGGGGAGGGTCTTCCCTAAGCAGGACACACAGTGACATTGTGGAGGGGAGGGAGTGGGAAGCACCTTGGGGAAGACAGGCTTGGACAAGAATCAGGATGACTGCTCTGAGGTGCGCGGGAGGGGAATGAGGAACAGAGGTCGGCAGTGTCTTGAGGGACTCCCCAAAGGTGGCCACACAGAGCGGGCAGCGCAGACCACACAAGGAAGACCACCCAACCAAGGCCAGCACCACTGGACAGGCAAGGGCACCGCATGCCTTCAGAGCTGGCTACCTGGAGGACAGACACTGCTTCTAGTCCTGAGGCAGGGTTGCATGGCCTGCAGCAAATCTATAGGAAAACCCAGTCAGTTCCAGCACCATCGCGATAAGGACCAACCAGGAATGTGCCCGGCAGGTGACAGCATAGTACCATACCAAGACTAAATCTTCTGAAATGTTAGCAACTACACTGTGGTTATGGTATGAAATGAAGATGGAAGTCTTCAAAAGTAAAGAAGAATAAAGTACCTTGAAAGGGTTTTAAAAAGATACCTATATCTGCATCCATGTTCACACACACAAATAGATTTACAAAGCATACATGGCAAATGTAAACGACTACTCTATCTAAAGGGTATAAAGGATCACTTTATTCTTGCAACTTTGCAGCAAATTTGGAATTATTTCAAAATAAAGCTAGCAGGGAATAAAAAACCACCTATGTACAGGTTTCCTACAATAATGAACACCTTTCCTCCAAAAGAAAGGACATATTTTAAGGAAAAGGCAAATTAAATTGCAGGAATACCTGCTGGCAGATGGTCCTCAGCACGTATCGAGCATATTCTCTTAAATTGGCCGTTTCTATGGAGATGCTCTTCGCGCAGGGCTTCGAGCTGTGAGAGGCAGGCCAGACGTCCTCCGCGGTCCCTTCCCGCCGCAAACTCCTCATGGTGAAGTCATCGTTCTTTAAGGAGCTGACACTGTTATTGCCAATTTTGGCATCTCCTAAATAACAGAATCACAAAAGCGAAGTCATGAAAGTTCAAAATACCACCACATACTGGAGAAGCAAATGAGGCTAGCTTTGGGGGGATTTAAAGTATCTGAGTAGCATTATCATTGCATAGCCAGTCAGCCAGCAATCCAGAGAATGAATCAAGAAAACGGATGAAGAACCCCGAGGACTACGAATCAGACACAAAGAAAAAGCAGCCCGATACTCGCTCCTTTTTTGTTTAAAGAATTAAGTATACTTTCACCAAACTTAGAAAGACCATCATGAACCACACTTAATAATCACAGAGCATTGATTTCACCAACATTTGGTGCATCAAATTCATTTGACTTATTAGACAAGGAAAAAAAAAAGAATGGGTTACTCACCCTTCTAGATGTCCCTTTTCCATTTCTTCTCTTACAATGACTTATTTTCTATCCATAGGTCAAGAGAAAAGTTTTGCCTTAGCCCACCTTACTACCAACTTCTGGACAAGAGATATATTTCCCTGGGGATGGAAAAGGGCAATGCATACTAAGGCAGCCCTGGAAAGCAGACACTTTCTATCACCCATGTCTGCTGGCTTTCCTCTCTGACAGCCAAGTGAGACCTCTTGCCTGATACTCCCTGACAGGCTCAGCCGACACCCCCAGAAAACTGCTTCCTCCTCACAAAGTTCTGGGAGCAAAAGGCCATACAGAACATGTCCGGCAGCTGGAATCCCCAGCCATGAGACACGAAACCCTGGCCATTGTAAAAGCCGGTGTGCCTTGGCTGGCAGGGGGGACGGCCCAGCAATAGCAGGGTGTAGCTTCTGCCCACCCCCAGGGGCCTGCCTTGTTTCCTGGGACCCACGGATGAGTCTGGGTTGGGCCTTTGCTGCCTGAAACAAGTGGGCAAACAGCCTGGGTTGGTGCCCAAGGCCTGTTAAAACCCACAGGCCCACCAAGAAAAGCTCTGACTCTGCTGAAAATACACCAAAAAAATCTGAAAAATCAAACTGGCTTAATGAATATTTACTTACAAATTCTCAAGAGGAGGAGAGGAATAAATAACACACTTCAACTCACCAATATATTACCACATATTCCCCATTAACACACAAATACAAAACGTACTGTTCACCCACGGGAGTTTACTTAATCCAACAGAGATTCTCAGAAGCGAAGATCTTGAAAGACCAAATTCTAAAAGTAGCAAAGTGCATCCTCCATGCTCAGGTGCCGAGACACACTACAGCTAGCCTCAAATAGGAACCACAGCAGGTTCCACGGTCTCACCCCCATCTCAGCAGACCTACAGGGAGGGAGCTGGGCGGATGCGGGTCAGAACACAGGGAGGCAGAGACACTAAAACCTCTACAAGAACAATCCAAAGACACACGCCACTGCAGGCCCAGGTGAGGACCTGGCAGTGACATCAGTAACCGGAATGGGGGAGGTGGCTTGGGAGGAGGTGCTGGAATCTTCTGCAGCTATGTGGTCAACAGAGCACAGGAGCCAATTGGGCCCCGGCTCTGCTGACCTTTACTGGGTGTATCCTGACCTTTCAGGCCTGGAGGATTTGCCATATTATTTGAATATTCAGAGGTAGAAAGATTTTACTTGGGATCAGACCAGTGCTATAAATCAAACAGCTTGTGTCCACACGGCAGTCATCTTGGTTTCTGCCATTAAAACTTGGGTCACTTACAGATTCAGGCTTCCAAAGTTAATTTAGTGAAAACCTAGTTCTTGCTGGTTTTTCTAATGAGCCTTAGAAATAACAGGGTAACAAATCCAGTCCCTAGGTTTGTATGTTCAGTAGGTCCCATGAGCCACCCTTCCCTTGAGCCACCCTCAGAGCAGGAACATGGGTGCTCTCATCCTAGGACCTCCTTAGCTCGAGGAGAGGCTGCTGCCCACAGCTGGCTCTACCCTTCCCTTTGGCTACAGAATCCATGGGCATTCCTAAATACAGACAAAATACACATTCATATGTCCTTTTCAAGTGAACTTTTAATAGGTAATTTTGTGAAAACTCTGGTTCTGTTGTTTTGTTTCTGTGTTACAAACAATTGAACCCAGGGGCCTCATAGAAAAATGTTATTGTTCCTTGAATCCTCAGGCATCATTTCTCAAGCATTACAGAATTCTGTCCTCACTTGTGTCCTTTAAGACCCACCTAAAGGAGCTCCTATCATTCAGTTATTCTGTTTTGATCAAAGGGAGCTCACTAAGAACGTAAGAGGTAACTATTATGTAGTCAAGTCTAGAAGAGGGTATTCAAAATTGGAATCAAGCACTATGAACTCAAGTCTTCTAACCATTCACATCCCTTATGACATCCAGAAGAAAATTCATCGACACTTGATGGGCAGAAGACAGTGTTGTCACTCCAGGAGCACATACACAAAAAAGATATAAAGGACGTCTTGGACACTATGAATCGGATGGAAAAAAAATTACTGTGACAGCGAATACTGATTAATCAATAATACCAACATCATTGTGATTATCACCCGATTCATGAATAAAACAGACAGAAAAACGTGTTCAGGGTCTCCAACACAGCAGAAGCACTCCGAGTAAGCTCCAGGTTTCCTGGTGTTCTGCACCTGAAACACAGCCTGGCTGAGAGCTAAGCCTTCAGGGATGTCACTACGTCATTCTTGTCCTTCCTTGGGTAAGTATTTTTGCCAACAATTGAAGGCAAAGCAACCCTGTGGGTCTCAGAATCTACGTCACATCAGAAGGAGCATCAAGCAACTAAAACAGAACAATAGTATGTCTATTTAAATTCCCCCAGGGTCACTATAGGAGGGACAGAAATTCTAAGAGCCCTATTGCCCATAGACTCAGGGAAAGCCAACTCTCTTTTTCCAGGAGAACAAACAAAACAAACCAGGTTTTCAACAACATTAATTAGATTTTGAGCTGAACACAGATGGTTTTGCCTCCACATCTGGTGATCAGCCAAGAAGTGCAGGGCCAGGAAGGTCTTACCAAGCATCATGATGGCTTTCAATACAGCAAAAACCGCTCCCACTTCAATGCTGTTGTGAGCAGCAGCTAAGAGGTGTCTATCGCAAGACGATCTTATTCCGGGGAAAGGTTTGCCTGTGAAAACAACAACAAGCCTTGAACAGTCTCGTCACCATCATTAACGATCTTCCATAATCACCCGCAGCCAGCAGGGCCTCTCACTGTTGGACTGTGGGCGCTTAATTGCCACTGGCCTGCTTAACCTGAGGCTCCGGGGTTCACTAAGACACACTGCCAGTATTCTTACTTAAACTTTTCTTAATTATTAATTGTTAAAACAATGTTTTTGCTCCTCAGAGAGATGTAGCAAAAAGATTAGCAGGATTCCCACACAGACATGCCCACGTGTGGATGGAAGGGATCTAAGAAGAGGCTTTACTAATACCCTAGGAATCATCGCTTACCTTAGGAAAAGGATAAATGAGTCATCATCCCCTTAAGTCGGGATGGCGGGGCTCAGAATTGACATATATAGTATGTTTTCCAGCCGCACTGCTCACCAGGATGACCTGGCCTAAGAGCAGAGGTATTTTTATTGACTGTTAACTCCCGGTTTTGATTTCTCAATATTTCCTGATATTACATAAATGGAAGGTGCTGCCAGCCCACCTGGTGGCACCCTCTCACTCCTTCACTGACCCCAGATCAAGCCCACAAAAATCAGGAAAGAAATGACAAAACGTAGAGCCCACACGGTCACTTAGAACCCAGAGCTCCGGCCTTCATCCACTGACATGCTACAGCCAGCTCACCGGCGGCTTGAGGCAAGAAGCAGGCCTGTGGCGCTCGGAACAGATGAAGCAGCAGTCGGCAGGTCATCCTCGCCCCGGGCTCCGCGTCCGCATCTCCACAAGCTAGAAAGCAGGAGAGAAAGACAGGTCTCAGGCTTCCTACTAAGTTAAGTCTTCTGCTCTAACCTACATCAACTCTCCTTAGAGCAAGAAAAGTAAGCCCTCTCTTCTGAGATGGGAGTACTCCTAAGGCAGGCTGGGGAGAGCAACTGCCTCTAGGGTTAATATGCTGGGGTCTGGGCTGCCCTGCTACCTCTAGCCACCCCAGCACACATACAGCTAGAATCTCCTACTGCACCCACCCTGTGCCCTAACATCCCAACCCACCCCTCCAAGGCAGCGAGCCCACAGCCAGCACAGCTCCCCAGGCTGCCTTACCTGCCGCTAGGAGAGAGGGGAGAGCCACGTGCTGCACGACGTCCTCCAGGGAGAAACACTGTCGTGCTATCAGAATAGCAATGAAAGTAGCTAATGAATCATGGAATGAAAGGTCACTCACCTTCAAGAAAAACATTGACAGGTTTTAATACCTGACACCCTTCTCAGCCACATCAAAGATCAATACCTAAGAGAATGTAGGCAACACCCCCAGGAGCTCAGTCCCACCACGAACCCACAGGGAACAGCCACGTGCGACTGTTACCCCCCAGGCCTGTTTCTGCAAGACAAACCTTGAGTCTATCCACCCCCCAGAGCTGCAAGAGGACATTGGGCTATAGCTCATGAACCCACAACTGAAAAAAGACAAAAAACACAATCCAAGAAATCACTAAAGGATGTGTGAATGCACCCCAATGTGAGTCGAAGTAAGCCCAGAGGACGTCAGAGAAAACAGAAAATAGGAGGGTCCCTTAGCAGAAAGACATGCCTGACGGTGTTCTGGAGACTCTTTATGTGGCAACTAACAAAGATGCTCAGAGGGACTAAGTGGGTTGTGAAAACTCTGAAAGTTTCCAACTAACTCCAAATTGCAAAAGAGGAAGAAAATTAATTCATAGTGAAATCTCTGACTTTACAGACTCCACAAAACACGTGCACAAGATAATGAGAAAAATGACTAATAACGGCCTTCACAACTGGCACCATAATTCAGGGACCACGGCCAGCAATTTATAAAACACCTCCTCTGATAGCCCAGCACCATGAGGTTCATACTATTATAAAATCCATTTTTACAGATGAGGGATTAAAGCAGAAGGCAAAGTACAACAACAACAAAAAGACCCGAGAGACTAAGTAAGGAACTACAGTCAAGATAAAAACGTGTCTTTCTGCTAGAAGCGCAGACCACCACTCGTGAGTTAACATGTATAAAAGTCTAAGCACACTGAGCTGCAGAGACAGGACTGCCCACCCTGGCAGAATATGCAAACTAGGAATAAGCCCTCAGCCAGAGGCAGCTTTTAAAACATAGAGTTCTTTAACATAAGAGACCCTAGCCCTAATTCTGCTCCAACAGGATACAGCAGGCAGGCTAAAGAATGGAGGCAGACGTTTCAAGAATTCACATGTTATGGATGTAACCTGCTAGTTGAGATAATCAGTGATATATCAGGAGCAGGGGGAGCTATTCATCAGTGTCCAGACTTGATCCCCAAGAAAGACTGAGCATCCTCTGAACCTATACCTGGGCGTTTCTGTGCAATATAACAAAATCTATACTCTTAGAAACCTATATATTGGTTCTTCATAATGAAAAATGCTTCAGTTACGTCCCCTGCCATGTGATAAAAATGAAGAACAGGGGCTAGGGTTGTGGTTCAGCGGTAGAGCGCTTGCCTAGTACATGCAAGGCCCTGGGTTCAATCCTCAGCACCACATAAAAACAAATAAATAAAGATACTGTGTCCAACTACAACTGAAAAATAAATTTAAAATGAAGAACAAACAGCTCTGAAATGATCATCCAGATCAGCTACATGGAAATTTCAGGAAACTTCAGGCATTTCTGCTATAGATTAAGCTATCTATTTTATTTCTGATTTTTTTGCGTATTAAGTAATCTTGGCAACTACACTGTGGCTTATTACTTTCAGACAGAGAAAGAAAAAAATATTTTACAATGTTAAAATTGAGTCAAGTACATAATAATTTTTAAAAAACAGATTACCCACTAACTAAATTTTGAATTACACAATTTTAAACAAAAAAGAAAACTTACATCCACAGTGCAAAGTACATCATTAAACCCCCACACGTGATTGGAAGAACAACAGAGAGCCTTCAGAACCCCCAGCCATTCTGAACTGAGGACAGTGCAGCAGGCGGTCAGCTCGGAGGAGAAATTGGCTATGTCGTTAATCCTAAGGAGGAAAGAGATGGGCAGTGAGCAGTTGGCAGGATGGTGACCGTGCGTGGCATAGCCGTGAGCACATTTCACTACCAGCAACAAGCCTTCTGCTTCTTAGACAGAAGGATGTAACCAATACCCACCTGTCAGATACAATGGAAACCGAGCAAAGGCATATGTTAACAACTTCAAATGTTGTTGAATAATCAACACTATTAAGTGACAAACAATAACCAGTACACATGTGAATTAGAACATTTTTAGCTCTGTGAACAGACCTGATCTACAAATTGACATTTTCATTGTGTGTTGCAATTATGCACAATAGTGGGATTAATCATGCTATCTTTGCACATGCACATAACACGATCCTGTCAAGTCCTCTGGCCAGTATCTCTGCTTTCCCTCTCTTCTCTTCCCCAAATCTATCCTCTGTGCTACTGGTCTCCCTTCTGTTTTCATTAAATCACATTTTTCCTTTTTAAAAGTTCAAATATAGTTGTTTTCAAAATACAGGTATTTTATTATATACATTTTTTTTGAAAATGCATACTGTAACTTAATAGACCATACCTAAATGCCCAAGCAAGAAGACATAAGCAGGTGTTTCTCAGGTTAAGAAAATTTTTGAACAGAACAGAGGTAAATAAATAATGAATAAAAGAAGATAGAGTCAGGGGAGCAAATGAAAGGCAGGTGTGAGCCCAGACATTTATTAGACACTTGTTTCAAAGAAGTTCCCAAGTCACCCAAGTCCTTGTCAGTGATGCCTTCCCGGTAGCCCGGCTCACCTGCCGGCATCCTGATGGCCCATGCAGACATTCATAAGCGTGTTGCAGACAAAGCTGTAGCGATTGGCTGCGTTGTCACTGAGGACTTTGCCCAGCATTGAGTAGTTGATGCTTCGAGCTGAGGGATTCTCAATAAAATCCATCATGAAGTCGGGATCCCATCGCAAGTTGGAATTCGCAGGCATCACATTATTATATATGGTTTGCTTTACTTTAGAACAGGCACTACTGAGGTTACAAGAAGAAAAGTTAAAAAAGAAAAACAAAAACTAGAATAATAGGAAAACCATTTCACTTAAGAAAGCTGGTAACTAATCTTAAATGACTTTCTACAGTTTACAAGCTCTACAAATCACAGAATTTACTAAGGCTTCCAACAACTAACTCAAGTAATAACATTTGCAACTATTCTTAAGAATAAAAATAGATTCAATTACACATCAGAATACTGTGGTGTTGTAGTCCTGATGGCACATGCCAAAGATCTCCTCCTCTAGGGACACTGTGTCCTGCGGAATTTGAATGCTAAGACATGTGACTATGGGACTGTGGCACAGCAGAGAAAGGAAAGGCATGTTCCTGACTTCAGGGAGCTTGCAATATGCCAGGGGGCTCTGGATAACTGGCAAATTGTACAAGAGCAAAGAACTGGTCACATCATCCCTAAGTTTGTCATGCCGTGTTTCTCAACAGTGGCGAGATTTTTTTTAATACCCTGGTTTATCGTGTGAAATATTTGAGGTTTTCATGAGCTACATCTGAGCAAAGATAGGACAGAAGCATCAAGGGATGTGGATGGATTTACTCCATAGCCAGCACTGAGATGCTCCAGTTTCAAAACTCACATTACATATGAACTCAGCCATTCCTGCCCATCTGCTCCATCTGCAAGTCCATGAGCAAATTCAAGTGCTCTACTCCAGAGCTCTTCAGTGCAACAGAAAGGCTGCTCTTAAGATTAAGTTTGGGCAGCAAACAGATTCGTGGTTAAGGTGATATACAGCTTTTTTATGCACCTACATTAGCCAGGAATGAGTACCTCAAATATACAAAGGCATGTGGATGCTTTATCCTGAAGTGCCAACAGCTGTCAGAAATTGAGACCATTCAGCTCAGCCCTCATCCTTCAGAGCCACTTCTGGGCTGTTTGGTTAAAATACTGATTCCTAGGTCTCACATAGGTACTCTGAGTTGTGTGTTTAACAAGGGCTCCAGTGCCAAATGATGCCAGGGAGGCCCAGGTGTCACCGAGAGGACCAAATGACAAACTGAATAATTACTATCTTCTATATTTTTTCTCTTTCTTTGCAAAGGACTTCTGTAAAAAACTTGTTGGCCATCATGGAAGGATATAAATTGGCAAAAGAGAATTGTGGCATTTTGAAAATGACAGTCATTTTGTGGTCCCGATGCTTCTACCCACCTGTTCTTCCTGACTACTCTTTATTCACTTTCACTTATTACATTCATGTTCCCATTAAAAATGAAACCCAGACCAGACCCTCCTTTGTTTCCTCTCGACCATATCCCTCATTTCCTCTGCCTCCCAAAGCCTTGAGTGTTTAGTACAAGGGACTTCTGCAAATTTTAAAGCTTTACCTCTTTTTCATTCAACTCTTCACTTAATTCTACCAGTTTCTCCACTCTGACTTTAGAATCCCAGCTCTTCTGCTCTGCTTCTGGTTTATGAGCCCCACCCCTCCACCTCCAGGAGGCAGATTTTTCTAAGTGGACTGCAGGGTCCCTCTGAAACTGGCTAGTGGTGAGGTCTTCTCAGCCTGCATGTTGCGGCTTCCTGTGTCCTTTAGTACAGGCTTTCTAGATGGGTTTTTGTTTGAATCAAATGCTGGTGACCAGCTAGGCCACGCCAATCCTCACACTCTGCTGCTTGCACAGAGGGAACCAAGCCAATGACTGAGACCTTTCCTTCTGCAGCTACGAGAAGCAGAAAGACCTGGAGGCCTGGGGACAGCAGCATACATCCTCAGAGCCTGTTCAGATCCAGGCTTGCTCACTGTTAACTAAGGCTAGGACACTCCTTTGTTCCTGGGGAAAGCCATTTCTACTTCCTGGTTGTCGTGAGTGCTCAAGCACTATGCCCAGCACATTGCCCGGTAGATGGCCCTGGTATTCCCTGTTCCACAACATTCCTCTCACAGGATGGCTTGGATGATATCACAGACAAAATGATCCAATTTGTTTAATCAGTACGTTAATGGAAATCTCTGCCTGATTGTCCTTTTTTACCAGATTCCAAACTATAAATCGGTCTCTGATTCTGAGAGAACAGGCGCAGTAGTGTGTGCCAGCAGCCCAGCCAGGCAGAGCCCCACTTGAGGGTCACTTGGGCCCACAGTTCAGGGCCAGCCTGGGCAACACAGTGAGAATCTGTCTCAAAACAAAGAAAGGGGGAGCAAAAGACAGCCCAAGAAAGCTACACCTCTCCCCGCTGCTTTATGGAAACGTTAGAAAGTGCACCTGCCCCTTACCAAGGAATGGTCCTTGGAACACCACACTGCGCTGTGGGTCCCCTAAGTTCCTGCTCCTGGCACAGCGCTTGAATGAACTCACCTTGCCTACCTGCACTGCACTGCGGGAGCAGCGGTGGTTAAATAAGCTTTGGGGGCTGTCTGGGGAAGTTCACCATCAGACAAGGGCTAGTGCAGGAACCACAGCATGAATGAGAAAGCTCACAAAACTCTAAACTGAAACTGAAAACTCCCCACAGAGTAACAGAAGAATATTGTTCTAAGATTACATCATTTCTGTGGAAAGGGGTTTCCTAAGACTCATTCAGATGATTTACAAAGGCTTGCTCCACCTAATGCATTACGTGGTATAGCATATTAGTATTTTTGTAAGTACTGTTAAATGACTTTTTGATGTCTGTTGCCTTGGCTGTGCCCCCTAGGAGCTGCACAGCTATAGTGGTGAGCAAAGCAGGCGGCCTCTGCTCTCCTGGAGCCAGGCCACGATCAATACACAATGTCCTTGAATATTCAGTTTAATCAGATCTCGAGTCCATCTAAGATGCTGAGAATGAGCAGAGGGTGGTCAGGGAGGCAGAGGTAAGGAAGTGTGGGTGAGTGTGTGAGTGAGTGCCACGAGTGAGGTAAGAGCAGGTGTGAAAACCCAAGGTAGGTGCAAGCTTACACATAAGAAGGAGGAGCAGGGGGAGGACCAAGCAATCAAAGCAGAGCACACAGAGAAGAGGAGCAGAAGAGAGCAGGGCACTGCTCACAGTGAAGGCTAGGAGGCGAGGCAGCATTGGGAACCCCGAGAGTCACCATGCTTTAAGTGGGTGACTCTAGTGGACATGGTCAGAATCTATACAAGAGGGTCAAGGGTGAAGCAGGAAGGCCAGCTGGGACAGCTCTGCATGGGACCCTGCAAGGGACGATCAGAGAGGCAGTGATGAGGGCACCAAGGAGTAGTGGACTCCAAGTACCCAGGAGGCAGGGCTCACAGGATTCACCCAAATGAAACAGGGCACTGAAGGGCACAGACAACTGCAGACCACCTCTTCCTTGCTCTTCCTGAGGATTCCAAATTTCTTTTGGCCAGATATTACTTTCTCCTGGAATTAATTACCTCAAGTTACTTCCTAGCACCTGACCACCTGAGCCCCCTGAGCAAGGCTGAGACCCAGGGAATAAGAGGGAGTTGGACATGCCACCTGAAATAGGTGGTCAAGGAAGTAGAGACACAGAGGAAGTGCAGAAGCAAGCAAGAAAACAGCTCCCCAAAAGCGCTCCCAGGGAGGCCAAGCAAGGGAAATTCAAATGCTTTCTCCCAGGTTAATCTCAAAGTTGCAGAGCTAAACAGAAGTAGTACTACTTGGAAATGGGAGATGATACCTACAGCAGAAGGTAATTCAATAGGAATTCTGGATAAGGGCTGAGAAGATAAAAAAATCTTTTCTACATATAAAATATCCTGGACTCATTAACATAAAGCATTCCTTAAGCAGTGAAATTTATTGACAGAAAAAAACATTCATGAACCAACAGTTGCAGCATTTATGAAGACTAAGAGAGCAAGTAGGTTAACTGCAGATTTTACAATATCTCTTAATGATTAACTAGGATATATTTCTTGTATATCAAGAAATGAGATAATATTTACTAAGTTGAACCTAAATACAAACACAATGCAAAATACAAATTAGGTCGTCTTGAATTTTTTGATACATGTTGATTTAATGCTACTCATGAAAATACTAGTAAGTTTTTTATATAAAAACTTAATTCACATGAAATTTACGGTTCAGTAAGACATAGGACATACTAAACAGTAAATTTTTTAAGAGAGGAAAAAAATTTATGAAAAACTGTTTGGAAAAATTGTGGAGAAGTAAATGAAGTTACAGAACCTTCTATGTCTAACCAAGAAATGAAAGCAATTTGTAACTTCAAGATGTGCAGAGGGTATTAAATCCACCCAAAGTAACATAAAAAGCCAGGTCAAAAAATGGGGATCTCAATGCTAGGAGGAATATGAACCCAGAAAAACACCAAATACTGCTTCATTAACCGCCTACTAGATTCATGATTCAAATTGAATTTCAAATTTAAAATATAAAGATTTATTAAATATTTATCATCATTCCAATATGACTTACCTAAATGAACTATATCTGTAAAAGTTATAGATAATATAAAAATTTGGGGGGTACTGGAGATTGAGTCCAGGGGTACTTGACCATTGAGCCACATCCCCAGTCCTATTTTGTATTTTATTTAGAGACAGGGTCTCAATGAGTTCTCAGCTACTTGCTTTTGCTGAGGCCAGCTTTGAACTTGCGATCCTCCTGCCTCAGCCTCCCAAACCGCTGGGATTATATGCTTGTACCAACATTCCCGGCAAGAACAAAAAATTTTAAAGAAAAAATCCTTTGATTGTTGAAGAGACAAAATTAGCCAAGGTTAGATGGTTATGGCCTAAAGTCGTTTCAATCTGGGGGTGGGAGGGAGGAAACCAATTCATAGTTTAATGGTCTACCTTTCATTGCCACTATGTATTTTTAATAGACAGTTTCATCAAATCTTGAATTTATCAAAATTAGCACCGGACAAAAATAACCATGATCACCTTTCATTATGAAAAAGGCTACTAACACTGGTAGAGTCATGGACAAACATAGCTGTGATCCCATTGCTACTCTTGGACTTTCTTCTACCCACCTGAAGAGGTCTCCAAACTTGCTTCTAAGGTGGCTACAGGACACATAGAGGTCGTAGAGGTAGGCTAAGATGCATCTTTCGGGGGAAGAGCACTCCGAGGGGTTCACGACGTGCTTCACCACACCGCACAACCTGAGGGCAAGACACAGGCAAATGAGGCCCACACAGTAGTGCACCCTCACCCAAGGCTTCAAGAACGAGGTGACCACATGCGACTCGATGACCAGCACAGCAAACTGAATCTCTGAACGCCTGTGTTCTGAGGAGGTTCAGAAATGCTATACACAACTTCAGAAATGTCGTTGACAACAAGAAACAAAAACAACAAGAGATGGTGTGCAAGCTGTTCTTGGAGAAGCACTGAGCCCTGTGACAGGGACGCAGTGGAAAGGTGGAGGGGAGGACCTTCTGATTGAACTGAGTCACAAATCAGCTTGAGCCTTTGTAAAGCAGCAGTTCCCAGAAGTAACCCTGGGAGATCTCCATCCCTTGGCTGTATCTGGCATCATTGGGGAATTCATGGTTGGGAGGCAAGCTAGAAACAAATTGATCTCGGTTTACCTCTTTTCATAGTGACATCCTCTATGACAACTGGGGTCATAAGCACCCAGCCACGCATAAAATTCTGTGTGGCCCGCCAGGCAGATCAGAGGCCTCTGTCTATGCTTCTCCCACACCCAGGTGCACTTGGCAGGGCACACACTGGCCCAGCAGCAAGAGTCTGGCTCCTCTGCCAGGCCTTCTGTTGTGGGTCTCCCCAGGACACCACACCACAGGAGTCACAGGTGATCGGACCAGTGCTCTGACCTGCCACCCTCACCATAAAAAGGGGCTCCCAGGCACAGAAAGGTGAAGGACGTGCAGCAGGGCAGGCAGCCAGTGCACAGCAGAAGGGGAGGAGAGCCTGGGCCCCTCAGATAAGACCTCTCCATGCTGAGGGGTCAGGGGAATCAGAAGCATCTGCAGGGCCCAAGCCACAATGGACAGCAGGAGCACAGGTGCCAGAGGGGGACCCTGGGACTACCTGAAGAAATGCCCAGAGCATCCCAAACCCTGGCAAGGAACAGTGACAGATGGGCCAGCCAGCAGAGAATGAAGCTGACCACTAGAGGAAAACCTCACACAATCATTTTTAAAAGTAGTGACTGGAACTGTGGTTGACTACATAAACAAAAGAGATCCTGATACATCCTAAAGCCAAGAATTCTACTGTGTCTAAAGGAAACAAACACGTGAGAAATGGTCAGCTAGCCAGGGTGCAGCAGAGTTTCCTCAACTTCTCTGTCTTGCTGGAGATGAGGAAGGCTTCACACTGTGATTCTAGATGACCACTCGCATAAATACAAAAAAAAAAATAAAGTCATCATTTGGGGAAAAATATTTACCCTTACTACGTATAATCAAGTAAAAAGAAAAGGAAATGTCAAACATAATTTTATGAATATTCAATAGTATGTAAATTTAAAATGTAAAAATCAATGATACTAAAATTCTTTTCAAGTTAAAACATAAAATACAATCAAGCAAAAACACTTGTCATGTGGGCTGGGATGTAGCTTAGCAGGATAATGCTTGGCCAGCATGCACCAGGCCCCTGGCTCAGTTCCCAGCACTGCAAACAAACCAAACCTGTACTTGTCACAACTCAACAAAATGATTTCATGAACAACTAGAAGATTTCCATGCACAATCTTAAAAGTATGAGATAGCTTGAATAATAGGAATGAACTCCCAACCAGGAAGACCTGTTAAAAGCTGTGAGAGTCATTGTCTATGTGATATTGGACAACACACACTGCTACACTACCAAACCCTTTATTTAAAATGCCTGAGTCCCAGTTTCTTGACCTATAAAATGATATTAAAATTCAAACCTTACAGCATAGTAAGTAGAGGGTTGCTAAATCGTTACGTACTTCCTTAATTCTAAGATAGATATGTTCTTGCATAGTAAAGTTTCTGAGATATTTCAGACTTCACTTCCTAATCTAAGTGTACAGTTAACATATACAAAAGGTACCATTTGATGTGCCCCCAGAAAGCTGCTGTTCCACCTAGGCCACCTGAGGAACAACATAGTCAATCACATGTGCTAGATCACAGCAAACAGTCACTGCTGCACCAAAGAACTCCGTGGTTCTTTTGAGCTCAGGAGGAAAAAAAAAAGGAAGAAAAATGGGCTGCTGTGTTTGTGTAAAAAGCCCAGTGGGGGAAAGGGAGTGGACAGAGAGGGGCTGGCTCTACCTTACCTTGGGCTCCCGAGCCTCTGTCTCCGATGGGCAGAGCAGGTTTACCTCCTCAGACCAATTCCACTGGCAACAGCAGAGCAAACTCTATCTTATAACAGCCACAAACCAAAAGCACACAATATACCAAGAACAAACAAAGACACTGGTTCTAAGTTAGCTCTTGTCAAAAGATGCTGTGAATCACAAAGATGAAACTGAAGCACCCCTTCACTCACTGTCAATGAATGCAAAGCTGTATTTGGTGTTGGATTCTCCAAAAAACCAAAATTACAGGAAAAGAGAAGTTACAAGCATTCACTCTTAATAAGCCAGGATGCTGGGAAGCATGAAGGATGGAGGCCATCAATGAGCAGCCTCCTGTTCTTAGAAACCAGGGCATGACCAGGAAGGCAGCAAGGAGGAGGGAGAGGAGGAAGGCCTCAGGCTTAACCAGAAAAGTGATTCTGTCTCCTCCTCAGATAGAGCCTTTGTGGCAGGAGTATTCTTTTAAATGTTTTAAATGAAATAAAAACAGGTATTATTGTTCTCTTAATAGTACCAGACACTTTTGGATTTGAAAAACGATGGCATTTTATATACCAACCCTTCAAACACCTGGGCTGTCTGCTCAGGATTCAGGATCAGACAACTATGATAGCGCCTGAGAACGGCCACAATGCACACGCAGAGCCCCGTGGTGTAGCTGCCTGCCAGGCTGGAGGACTTGAGGAGCAGCTCGGCTTCCACGACACTCAGCTCATTTAGCAACTGTAAGAACAGAGAAGGAATGAAAAACGCAGGTGCCACAACACAAAGGAGAACCAGTCCCACAAATCATGAGTACTCCATGCTGTGCGCCACGGCCGGGGAGAATGTGGACTCCTGAATCAGACATCTTTTTATTTTTAAGCCTGTTTATACAAGAACTTTGTGTTCTTCTGTCTGGACATGAGGATGTATAAGATGAGGAAGCACCCAGTGCCGGGCAGCCCCAAGTTCTGGAATAGATCCGTGAAGCTGATATATACTACAGAATAAGGAAACCAAGGTTAAAATCCATTCACTAATAATACTAGGAAATAAAGAAACAAGTGCAACAAGTTAAATCAAATTTTAAGGACTTTTTTTTTCTTTCAGTGTTAAAATTTACTCTATTATAGACAGAAAATACTCTTTCATCACTGTCTAAGCAAAACAACAAAAGACAATCCCAGAAAGCCTCAGAATTCTGGCATTGTTAAATGACATGCACTGAATACCAGGTATAATTATTTAACTGAAAACAATTAACAGAGCTGTAATTAAAATACTAGGCTGATGACCATTAACTCAGAATGTCTCAATTATTCAAAAATGTATTGGGTCCTCACAACTGTGTTAATGAACAGCAATTGGTTCCATTCAAATGGGCTGAGTTGCCCTACAGAGGCCAGGAGACGTGGGATGGGGCAGGGATGGGGAAAGCTGATCAATGGGCACTGAGCTACAGTCAGAAGCAAGATGTTCTGGTGCTACAGGTAACCATGATGTACTACTGCACATTTCAAGGAGCTGGAAGAAGGGATTTTGACAATTTTCACTGTAAAGAAATGATAAATATTCCATGAGGCAAGTTATGTTTAACCTAGTATGAACATTGTAGAATGTGTGCATGCATAGAAATATTACACAGAACCCCCATTTATGTGTATATTTTACATAAAACTATATATGTACAGTTTTTATGGTTTTGAGTGTTGATTTTAAAATAAATTTAGGCTAGGCATGGTGGCATGGATCTGTCATTTTAGCCCCCAGGAGGCTGAGGCAGAAGGATCAATGAAGACCAGCACGAGTTTAAGCCCAGCCTGGACATCACTATGAGACCCTGTCTCAATTATTTTAAATTTTAAAATAATACATTTTAAGACATAAATTCTGCAATGCCTGGTAGGTTGGCTCTCCCAAAGTTAAGGAAACACGGTCTCTCTGACACCTGTATAGCGAAGTCAATGAGTCCATTGATGTTCAGTGCGGGCTCCATGAGATCGAAGATGAGCTGTATGTGGTGGGCCAGCGGGAGGTGGTAGGACGTCCCTGAAGCAAAGCTGGTGATCTGCTCCAGCACGTTGTTAGAGATCTGAGCAGACAGAGTGAGGCCATCACACACGGATTCCCAAACCATCTTTTACATAAATTATTTTACTTCTCTAACACACTGGAATTTAGCCATTCTACTAGATGAAAATTAAAACATATTTTCACAGAAACCAAAACCATGCACAGATTAAATGGCTTTTTTATTTTTTATTTTTATTTTTTAATTATAGATGAATATAATATCTTTCTTTATTTTTATGTGGGGCTGAGAATCAAACCCAGAGCCTCACCTGTGCGAGGTAGGCAATCTACCACTGAGCCACACAACCGGCCCCTCAAACAGCTTTTCATGTGTCTAAATAACCATCAAAGAATTTGTAAAACAAAATAGATTTGGTTTCTTCTCAATGTCATGGCATTTCATTTTAATCATTGACATGTGTGCTACGGGGCCAGGGAGTCATAACATCAGCCTTGTATTAGGGATTATTTTATATATTACTGATTATTAACATAAGGTAAAAGTGGTTACATAATAAAAACAAGCTCTTGGGCTGGGGCTGATGCTCAGTGGTGGAGCAATTGCCTATCATGGGTGAGGAACTGACCTCAGCGCTACATAAAAATAAATAAATAAAGGTATTGTGTCCATCTACAACTTAAAATTTTTTTTTAAATGTACAGTCTAAGATGTTCCCACATGTTTATAAAATATATGTATAAAGTTCATGAAGGCTGGGGCTGGAGCTCAGCGGTAGACCACTCCCCTAGCTTGTGCGAGGCGCTTGGTTCAATCCTCAGCACCACAAAAAATAAATAAATAAAAATAAAGGTATTGTGTACAACTACAAAAAAAAAAAATTTGTTTTTTAAAAAAGCATCCTTTGCCAGGCGCAGTGACATGTTCATGTGAAAAAATTCATGAAGGCTGAAAACACATATTGCACAAAAGGGATTTTTCAGGAAACGGTGACACGTGCAATACATAAGAAGATAGTTTTAAATGGCTACCTGAGACGTCACTTGATGCTGATCGAAATACGACAGAAGTTGGAGTTTTGTGAATACCGTCTCCAGGGTTGGAAATGTTTCTTGTTTGTTCTTTCTGGCTTTTTGCCCTTCATCCCCAACTAAATGAACATAAAACACATAGGTTATTTTCCATTTACTCAAAACTCTTTCATTATCTAACATCATCATTGATCCCAGGCTGAAGAGCTCACATCAGTAGTTGGGTATACAAATTGCTTTAAAAATGAAGTTAATGTATTAATTCAGTCCTTCCCTGGGACAAAACCAATACATAAAAACAACAGACTTGAGGACATAGATCCAGCTAAGAAATCTAAAACACACTTCTGTTTCTGCAGATAGGCTCCATATTCCTAAATATAACAAACTGCTTAAAACCTCATGTAAAAGGATGCAAAGTACTCCTGGAAATTTACATCCACTTTTTTAAAAAATAAAAAAAGGTAACAAATTAGCAGTGGCGCTTAATATTTATTTGAATGATATTTGTGTGACTAAAAATATAGACATAATTATATATTTTCCCTATCTATTTTAGGTTAATTTGCTTTCATAACATATATTATTGCTCTTTTATTGCTTAATTTTCATTTGAAAATGTTTAAGTCCTCATATTATTGGCCTTTTAAACAAATAGTCCTAATAAAATTCATTAATGTTTTCATGCAAATGCAGAAGGAAGTCTGAGCAAGTTCAAATGAAAATGCTACTTAAACTAGATTGGAAATTCCTCTGGGCAAGACCTGGCTGATCGAACAACACTATTAATGGCTTGGAACCATAAAACCTTCCTTTTTTTTTTTTTTCTTTGCAAGGAGGGGGTGGGGAGGAGTGGGGAGGTTGAGGGCAGAACCCTCTGAGAACCACTGAGCTACATCTCCAGCCCTTTTTTTTTTTGAGACAGAGTCTCATCAAATTGCCAAGGTGGGCCTCCAACTTGCAATGATGCTGCCTCAGCTTCTGGGAGTTGGGAGTTGCTGGGATTGCAGGCATGCACCACCACACCCAGTATCAAAATCTTATTTTATGTTCCCTGAACTGAAATAAATGCTAACACAAGCTCTTTTCTCCCTACCAGTCTTCATTTTTCCAGGAAAAAAAAAGAGGAAGGGGTAAATTTCCATTACTCTGAGTATAACTGGCCAGCCTCTGGTACTCACACTAAATGACAGGCTAACAAACAATATGTCTTCACACGCAGGCTGTTAACTAGAGGAGGCTTACTGCATCCCTGACTGACATCTTTCTGGTTGAGGAGTTTTATCTAAAATGAAGGAAAAACAGGAGGATGGAGGAGGCTGCTCGAGGTGGGTTTCCATTACTGGCATCTCAGAAGGCACAGAGAACAATGGTTTTCCAAGTTCAGGGGCTAGAAGTGCCTACACTTCAGGGACTGCTACAAAGATAGCACAGACAACAGTCTGGCTCTAAAAACCGTGAAGGAAGGAAGCCGAGTCCACATGAATGGCCAACCCACTTCCTTCCCTTCCGCCTCCTTCAGCCTTCCAAACCCAGACTCTGCGCAGGACCTGGGTACCCTCTGCAAGTCATTGAGACTGAGCCACAGGACTTTCACCTAAAGGAGACAGTGACCCCCATCCCCTTTCCAAGCAAACCAACAGAAGTCTCAAATATTGTTTGCTAGCTAGTTTCAGGGCTTCTCAATTCAATCTTCTCTTGAAACTCATTTCCTCTTTTCTCTAAGAGAGAAAATAACCCAACAATATAAATAATTTTCTTAGAGCACTTTCCTCTGCAAGCTCTAGAACATCAAGAGTCTCATTTGCACAACTCGTGGCTACTCCCACCAAGTGCAGGTCCACTGCGAGGCCCTTCCCCAGCTGTGAAAGGGGTGAGGGAAGGTGAGCCAAGCAGACCAAGGACACACGAAGCCCTTTCCATGCCTGCACACACCCCTTATTGGAAGAAAGAGAGGCTGTTTGGATTACTTGTGCTGTTTTGGATTACTTATTCTTTCTAGGAAAGATCTAGAAAATAAGCTCTAGTAATTTTGCCTGTTAAAAAATTAAGACTGAATGCCCTGTGGAGAGGTCCACAGCAGAGTGGCCAGGGGCTGAGAGGTGGCTTATGCCACAGGCCGGAAGAAGGCTGTTTGAAAATGTAGACATTCTTTCTTCATATTCCTGAAGTATTTGGAAAAAAAGAGTGGAAGGGATGTATATGTGTGTGTGTATGTGTATATGTGTGTGTGTGTGTGTGTGTGTGTGTGTGTGTGTGTGTATAATGATATCATATTTTAAATCATATGACTGCATAATGAAATAAACCTTGAAAGAGCAATTAAGCAGATCTGAAAAGGATAATTACAAAGGTCCAATTGTGCAAGGTGATGACTTCACATAAATATTTGGCTTCACTATAAAAACTACAAAAAAAAAAAAAAAACACAGAGAAAGAATTGCAAGTGACAAGGCCATTACCTGCAAAGGCCTAATTTTCCCTTCTACCTGAGATTATCTGGTGACATTGTGGCTTCCATACCCACTGAGTTCCTCTTCCGAGTCACTAAGAACAGACCAGCAATTACACTATGATGGATGTGACTGTCGTATGCGGGTCAGTGCCCACAGCAAAGCAAACTGCAAGCCGGGGCAATGGCAGAAAAGACACGGGGAGGGGGAGCTCCTCTAGACCCGGGTCCTCCCACTCCGCCTCAGGAATCCCTTCATTACTACCTGGAAACTCTGGTCCAGATTAGAAAGGTACAGAATAAAAATCACCTGCATCTACCTTTACACTATGGCCTGTTAATCCAAAGACTGCTACTAATGGTCTCCAGCTCAAAATACTTAAATGTGCTTATTCATATTTCAGTGTGACAGTCATCAGTGAGAGGAAACACACTGGAGACAGTGACACAGAGCATTTTGATAAACGCTGCAAAGAGGGGGGACAGCAGGCCCCGCGGGAGTTGTGCGTGGAGGCCTTACCGCCCGTCTCTGTGGTGCTCTTCTTGTTCAGGATTTTCAGGATGTCTTTGGTGATCTTCTTCAACTGGTGCCGGGCCTCCTCGCGCTCCTTGCCCACTCCATAGAGGAGGATTGTGCGCTGGTTACATTCATGACTCGAGGACTCATCCTGAAAAGCAGGGGATGTGGTTGTTCTGAAACCGTGCACAGGGCAGAGCTGCCCAGCTCAGTCTTGAACCCCAGAGCAGCACCTGCAGCCATCCCTACCCTGTGGGCCACCTCCACCTCCAACAGCCATGGTGTTCCAGTCTGGAACTTGCTAAACCTTAAGAAAAAGGTGCCGACCGACCTGCAGACTTCATAGGAGCATTTGATGTGGGCAAACAACACAGAGTAAGTTCTGACTACTGAAAAACTTTTCATTATTTAAGGCTAAACATGGTATTAATCTCATATCATGTAACATAACATCCAGATGAACTTTTTCATAAAGGAAAATGGTATTTCTTACTAAGCTTGGTTTTAGGTATGCAGTGATGGTTTATGTTTCATATTTAGAGAAAAGTCCTTCTAGGATCTTCAATTACTGTAGCAAAATATTTCATTTACTTCTGACATGATGGTATGAGACATTTATGTTTATTTTCAAGTGACAAAACAGTTAGGAGCGGGGGTCTCTATGGTGCAGTGGGTGATCCTAAGCCGCACCTGTTCCTCTGCCCCCTCACTTGCCTAGTGACCATGCCCCACCCCAACAGAGAATTTGGCTCTTCTTCCCCCAAGGGAAATCATCTGGTCTTGGCCTTACAGAAGCGTGGATACACACACCATGGGGTGCCCAGCTCAGCCTGGGTAATGTCCACCTGGCTGTGGGCGTTTTCCTGGCTCCCCAGCCCCGGCCCTGGCCTTCGCTGGTCCTGGCCTTCCACCCCCTCTGCAGCCCCGCCCTTCACATGCCTCCTTTGCCATCGCCTGGCACATCTCTGCCCAGGCCAGGTGCTTTCCCTGCTGCCCAGCATTGTATTCTGAGGAGCTTAGGGGAGGAACACTTCTCTTAGGGACACAAGGGCACTGAGTCACCATTAGTAATTCAGCAAAGAGTGGCAGACTCCAGTGCCTGCGGCCCCAGCCGCAGGCCACTTACAGGGACTTGGCACCAACAGCACCTTGCCTCTGCAGACGTGAACGGAGCCTGTGCGCCCTGCAGCTGTCACATGGCTCTTTGCCTTCTCTATTCCGTCCCTCATTCCGTGTGCAATGCCTGCCTCAGGGCCATGCCTCTTTTCTGTCATACTCTGCTAGAAGCCATTTACTTGTCCACCTTGCTCATCTATCAGGGAACTTGGGCTCAAATCTGAAAATTACAAACCTCAGGCAGGGCCCATCCTGTGCCCTGGCAACTGCTTCTAGCTAAGGCTGCGTCAGAAGACCGCAACATAAATGTCTATGTGTAGGGTAATGGGAAGACTGACCAAAGTCAACTCTACATGGCAGGCACCTCGGTCAAGACAACATGCTAGAGATCCTGCCGCAGAGCCAGAAGTCCAAACAGGAATGGTGGGAAGGGTGATCTAGAACAATCTCTGTGCTCATCACGACAGCACAGGACAGCCGGGCCGCATGCTGCCCTAACTGCAGCCCAATCCATGGTTAGCATGCCATGATCACACCACTTGACGGCTCTGTGACCTGGTTAAAGAACCTTGCCCACTCTCAGTTCCTTCCCCTGAGAAACAGGGTACCACTGCCTTGCTTGATGGTGTTCTGTGAGTGCCACGGAGATACAGGGTGTGATGTGAGATGGTGGGAGCCTCCTGTACACAGCTCCCAGCAGATGGTTCCCAGTCTGGGTTCCGCCCTCTCTGCAGCACCCACACCCACCCTGCTGCATGGCTCAACATTCTCCAGAGACCCTGGCATGGCTCCTTCCTTTGCTCTTCCTGCCTAAAACATTACCAACAGCCTCCATCCATCACCCCTGCTGAAAGGCTGTGCACAAGTGCAGTGTCAGGTCCTCCACTCTGTCACCTAGTCACTGAGAGCCTCAGCACAGGAGGACAGGGAGGAGGGAGGAGAGCCAGAGCACTTCTCACAATGCCACTTGTTCACTTCTAGGTGTCTCCCCAGTTAGACCACAGCTTTGTAAAAGACATGTCTTGCTTGTTTTACGCATTTTTATGTTCTCCTTAATAAGCACCAAGGTGGCTTTAATACCTGCTGAGTACATCACAGAAAAAACTACATAGGCTAATGAATACATAGCTAAAGGGACTGAGCAAGAATGAAGGTAAGAACAAAAAACAGCTTTATAGGAAACTTCACTTGACAATTAAGTGCAGACAAAATTGTGGGCAA